GGACGAAAAAGAAACACACATGACGTGCGCTGCACTCGTCACGTGTGTTTCTTCTTTGTTCTCGTCTGTTTTGTGCGCTCTTTCCTACCATGTGCTCCCATCAATTTGCCCAACTATTCATTCTTCTATGATAGCTGGAAAGGTTGCCGCCATCTATGAGCGATGGCGGCAACCACACTGGTTGCCGCCATCGCCTATAGATGGATGGTCACTTATAGATGGTGGTAGCTGTCCAGAGGTTTGTGTAGGTTTGTGGCGACATTTCTTTTGTACTGGACACGATCCTGAGGAACCTAGCCCTTAACAGCTCCGCTGTAAAAATCACTGAAGCAATTGCGAACAACAAATGTGACTGCGCCAAATGTCGACTAGACACTATTTTTCTTGGACACTATTTTTCTTGATTCTATTAGTGCTCTCCTTTGGACGGAAGTCGTAGTGTTACAGAGCCAGCTTGAGTCTGCGCTTGCCGCTCTTCCAGCTGTTCCAACTGTAGGATACCCAACTCTTAGCATGTGGCTGTAAAGTACTCCGAGGATAGGCGAGAACCTTTCACGCGAGACTAGTTCTCTCGCCACACAGCTCGCACAAAAGCACCTTGACGTGGCTTGCCTCCACTGCTGCAGGGGAGCGACCCAGGCTCTACTGCCGCGGACGAGCGACCCAGGAAGCCGCGACGCCCGTCTGCCTTCTTGCTGGTGACATACACGGGCAGGAAATATTTGGGGTTTTCATAGCTGCCGGTAGAGAGTTGCCTCCTCCAACTCTCGCGGCCAGCGTAAATAGAAAATTCAGTGACTTAACGAAAAATTTTTATTTTTGTAAAATATTTCAGCTACTAGTTGATTTTGGCTATCAGGCCTAAAATCTATAGCAAATCGGATGAAACTAAGGGGTAGGCTAACTTTCGGTATGCTATAAAAAAAAGTTGAAAAAATGCTAGTTTTAGATTTTGTGACCCTCGAAACTTACGATCGCAGGAAGGGGCGATGAACCAAAGACTGTACTTGCCAGTCAGCAATGTTCACTTATCTCCCGCTGTGGTCAAGTAACACTGCCGAGGTCAGCATTGGCCAGGGCCTTGCGATTACTGGAAGTGCGCTATCTTTCGGTTGCGCCGGTTTCGGCTGAAATTTGGGCAACGTAGCCTGGGATGTGCCTAGAACCCAGTTCAATCGCTAAAAAAATATCCGAAATTGCCTTCATTGTCCTTTTAACCTGCGCAAGTCATTAACACTGCATGTACACTCAAGAATATTCTTTTTTTTTCTTGTTACAAACAGAAACAGTTTTGTTTGAACTTAGAGCCATTTGCCAGTTATCACACCAGCCGGCTACCCTCTTTAGAGATTCATTTAGTAGAATTTGGTTAGCTTCACTTGTTATCTTGTGTTATATAATACGATCGTTGGGAAAAAGTTCTATATTAGTATTGATGTCGTTGACAATGTCATTTATATAGGGCAAAAATAAAAGTGGTGCCAAAAGAGAACCTTACGGGATACCAGACAGTAGCTTAAAAGGTCGAGAGGCGTGTACTTCATCATATACAAATCGAAACCGATTTCTTAAGCAGTCCACAATCCAAGATATTATAGGACTATCACCCATAATGTGTGTCAGTTTTTTAAGAAGTTTGATGTGTGAAACACGGTCAAAAGCTTTCGACTGGTCTGAGAGTCTCGACCAGCTGTGTGACAGTTAATAATCCACTATTGACCCAAGCCGTGCTGCTGCGCACATAAAATATTGTGTCTCAATAAATACCGTCACGAATTTAAGTATATGTTCGAGGAATTTACAGCATGTAAGAGATATGGGTCTGTAATTTGAGGCTGGGGTGTGCTTGCCAGATTTGTGAATGGGTACAACTTTTGCCATTTTCGACTCAGCTGGCACCGAAGAACAGCTGTGAGACCTGTTGAAAACCAGCACTAAATAGCTACAAAGTCATTTGAAATACCGTTTTAGGAACATATTTGGGATTTCCTTGGGACTGTCGCTTTTTCTAGTTCAAGCAGTAGTGCAAGAATGCCTGGCTCAGTGACTAAGACTTCTTAGCCCTTCAGTGGTGTTGTAATTTGGAGATAGAAAGGGAGTTATTATGTCATTCTCAGCAGTAAGTAGCTACTGATTCCATCTGCCATTCTCTGTTTCTCCCAGGGACTCAGACTAGCTGTTTTTGCCTCTCTGGGATTAACATGGTTCCAGAAGTTTTTGGGGGATGCTTTCACAAACTTGCAAAGGGTCACATTCTTGTAGCTTCTTTAATTTTTAATTTAAGCCCACTCGATTGTTTCAAATACTCAGTTTTGTGGTCTGTAGTTCTGAAGTCTGCAATGGGATACTTTTTAGATGACTTTCTAAGCTGTTTGATTCAATGCTTCAAATGAATAAGCTCATGGTGCAAGCTTTTTTACATTGTACATTGTATTGATGTGAGCAGCACTGGCATGCGCAGTAAGTGTGCACGGTATGCGAGATGATCCAGCATAGTTTGCATATGTTGAGCAAACCATTATACATTTCTTTCTCAATCTGTGATGGTAATTTGGTGTGGTGAAACTGCTACACTCCATCTTTGCGTCTGCATGCTCCACAAAAGCCACAGGAAACATGTGGATGGCCACGGTCTAAGGTAGAGTTAGAAACCAGTTTGGACCAGTTCATGCTTGGTTGAACCGGTAACCAAACATACATTTTGCATGTAGGGTATGACTGAACTGGAATTGAAAAGAAACAAAATAAAAAGTTACTGAATCCGGGCCCAAACCAAACCGGAATAATGACCAGTTTGACACCCTGGTTAAAATTTTACGAGGACATCAGCAACCTAATAATTGTCATAAAATTGTTTCAAACTCATTATTTACTTAAAAACAGATTTGAGAAGTGAATAGTAAAGGCTAGCTCACGCACTTGCGTTTGACAGTCACTGATTGTGCTACGACTCCTTGAGTTTCGACACATTCTGTGGGGTTGAAACGAGGTGGCACCAGTGTAGCGCTTAAATTCTTCCGATCCTCACCTACAGCATGTACACTAATGTTTCCATCCCACTCTGGACAGTCTGCGAAAATCGGCTTTTCAACGTATTGCGCTGGGATTTGCTACAGAGGTGCGGCGGCTAGGTGGTGCAAGCATAGAAGTTAAAATATCAGCGGATGAGCTTACCTTGTTCAAAAAAGAAAAAAAAGAAAAACCTGTTTTGAGCTATCTGCCGCGGCATTCACAGATGTTGTCATGACCGGGCTCGCCTAGTTAAATCTGCCGCCGACAGACGTTGGAAGCGTCGACCGCGCCGGCGCCGAGCTTAGCAGATGATCTTCATAAACTTTTCACTATGCCGCGGCGCGCATCTCTGTCGGCGCTCGACGCTTCCCACATCTGTTGGTGGCAGATTTAACTAGGCGAGCCCAGTCATGACGTCGTCTGCAAATGCCACAACAAAAAGCACAAAAGTTTTTTTTTTCTTTTTAACGAAGTAAGCTGATTTATTTATATTTTAACTCCATGCGTGCACCACCTAGCCGCACCTCTGAAATAAATCCCGGGGCGATACATTGATAAATCAATTTTTGTGGACCGCCCAAAATGGAATTGAAGCATTAGTGTACATGACGCACACTGAAAGCACTTTTAAGCGATTAAGACACGAAACTTAGACGCATAGAGTATTCTTGAAATGGAATGCTCATAGGCTACTTGTATATACACCAAGTTTTGTGATTTTTAGAATTCTAGTAATTGCACTAATCAATTTATGAATGTTGACCATTTGCATCTAGTGGCCAGGCTACACTGCCCAAGTTAGTCACACCTATGGTGCCCATAAACCATGCGATCATGAACGCTCTCTCATTCTAGGAGTGCCCAAGCTCGCCTCACCACGGTATGATCGCACACTCTCGCGATACTCGGCCACTTTAACGCTACTCTCGCTGCCTTGCCCTTGCACCCTTCATGCCTTGCCCTTGCACCCTTCATGCATGTGCGAGATCGTCGCGGACGACGGCAAGTCAGTCCATGACAATCTCATCGTCATTGCCAGAGCTGGTCGCCAGCGGGTCCAAGTCAAAATGGCCAGCTTCCAACATCTCTCGATAACAATGACTCTCATCGCTGCTGCGATCAGTGTCCAAAACTGCGACGAAGCAGTCTCGAAACTGCATGCTCCAAACGGGCGGTAATTGGGGAAGTTGAAGCGCATGACACCGAGAGAGCCAACTCTGCGAGTGCGTGTAAAGGGACACCGTGCGTTAAGCGAGCGACGTCACCAACCCACCAAACATGGCAGCCTTTCCGAAAGGGGGGAATCCCAGAGTATAGTAGACTTGATTTATCCACCAAACTATCGCACCATTTTCAAAACAAATTTAGCATAAACATAGGAACACACAATGGGTCCTAGCTATCTCCCATTTTATTTTTGACGTGTCCGCTTTAATGAGGTTGTCTATCAGAATGATTTTAGGCCCATGGTGAAAGAGTGATGCATAAAATATAAAGAAAGTTACGCACACCAGAGGTGTTCCGGGGATGCCCGATAAGTGGCATCAGCGTGTTTTCTCGGCCCGAGTGGTTACAAGAGGTCGTAGCTCACTCGATAAGAACCAAATATACAAGCGCAACAATTAACTGTGCCAAGGATTAATTAGGGACCAGGAACTTACAAACCATTTTTGCGTGAGTAACTGCAACTGTACTCGGGGTACATTTCTGAAGTAACCCTTACAACCCTGCCCCCCAGTAACATTTGGGCAAAAGATGCAATCAGATAAATGTCTCTTTGGCCACGCGAGACTAAATGTGGCAAATATTACACAGACCTTCGGTCACATTTCCAGACCGTCCACCATGCACAGTCACAGTTCTCAGACAACGTGGCAGGGGTAAAGGGTACTCAATACTGCGAACGATGGCTCTTCAGTTAGGGAAGCAAAAAAAAAAAACAGCGAGCAAACAGACAATTTGTGTGTTGACCACAGCAGGACTCGCACCTATAGTTTGGACACTTGCGTGCTCCGGGACAGCTCTGCACGAGATTCTGGATGGTGGGGTGTGGCAGGGCGAAGAAGTCGGCCCCCCGTGCGGCGGGCACTATGACCTCCGCGCCGCACGCTCGGTTCACGGCACGCAGCAGAGCCACGTAGCACTCGTCCGGGCTGTTGCCCACAAAGGGCCGCTCGGGCAAGTCCTCGGCCACAATCTCGAACTGAAAGAAGAGAAGGCACCCGGGTCACACGAGTCGCCGGTCTGGTAGTTGAAAAATGAACGGGAAAGCAACTGTGTGTCCAGAGTGCACCAAACCAAAGACACAATCATACTAAGTTGAATATACTGCTTTGCCCTCACAGGCTATGGACATTTGCAAGTACGGTCTCTGGGTGCCGCCATCTTGCCGCTGGTGTGGGTAGATCGTCCGATAGTGAAGCAAGGCCGTGGGTACGGCTCATCAATGCTTGACTATCAGACAATCTACCCACCGGCAGCAAGATGGCGGCGCCCAGAGGCCGTACTTGCAAATGCCTATAGAACGTAAGTTTGACCATGCTCTTAGCGCGGTCTGATGTGTTATAGGGACCCCCCCCCCCCCCCCCCCCCCAAATTTGTTTTATTTTTTTGCCAGGTGATTTAAAGGGGCCGTGCAACAATGTTTAGACTCAGGTCCAATAATTGTGGTAGTTGTTCTCTGTCACGTCTGAATTAAAGAACTGAAACAAAAATTTGCATATGCGCAAAAACCACCTCAACTCGTACACCGTTTTTCAAGTTACGTGCACATTGACGCGCAAGGGGGATACTCCGGTTGGGTTCTCTTTTAGAGCCTCCAGCGTACGTGGCCTCCGACTGTACTTGAAGGATGGTCTAAGCGATGTGGAGAGGAGCAAACAGTTGGCCTTTCCACAAGAAAGTTTGACAGACATAGTAGCATAACAGGGTGAGGCTCAAGGGAGAAATAGTTTCTTCACCTCAAGCAGATGACACCACTAAAACTAGGGATGCCGCAAACTTTTTTCGAACCGAAGTTTCGATGATCGAATCAAGCGGTTCGAAAGGTTTCGAATTTTCTATACCGTAAAATTCGACGGAAGTCGAATTTTCGAACCTGTTAAGCTATGAAGTTCGACGCTTTTTGAATCATCAAACTTATTACGATAAAAAATTCTATCCTTTTCGAGCTTATCACGCTGCAAAATTCAATGCTTGTCGAACTTCCGAACTTCACTGACCAAAAAATTCGATGATTTTCTAACTTTCGAACTTCTTGCACTAAAAAGTTCGAAGCTTTTCGAACTTTCGAATTTCCTATGCTAAGAAATTCAATAGTTTTCGAATATTCGAACATAGTTATCAAGAGATTTCGAAAAGTTTCGAACTTTTGAATCCTGAAAAGTCAGAAGTTTGACGAACTTCTAACTTTTAGGGTAAAAGTTCGACGTTCGTCGAACTTCGAAAGACCGGCGGACTGTTTCATTTGAATTCAAGTAGTTAAGTACATTCGTAATTTTTTTTTCTCGAACTTTTACATGCAGTGTTGCGTTCCTTACGAAAGACAATGCCGTTTATTTCAATGTTCTGGCATGCTTAGTTTTAAAGAAATAAATTCCCGAAGGGGCGAGGAAGGACGGCGGGTTTTTGATGATTATCATTTTTGCCAGATTTGAAGCACGCTGTAGCCGAAGCTATTTATGGTAGAGATGTTAAACTTTTTAAGAATGATCTGTGTATAGCCTAGGCAAGTGTCGTCTTATGATGTGATTATTGTTATTCAAGGTGAGTTTCGAAGAAATGTCCAAACATGTATCTACATGCAATTATGCCCTAAACTTGGTATTTATTTTCGTCTAAGTTGTTTGAGGTATCGCATTTAAATTAACACTACGGACAATACATATCACTGCCATTTGCAGAATACAAAATAATGTATTGATTGTTTTTTCACGTTAAGGAATAAATTAACTCATGGGAGAAGATTTCTAAAATTGTTCAAGTTCAACACGTCATTAAAAAAAAAAACTTTTTTTTTTTTTTTTACTTTACGTTTTTGGGCCGTGTTATTTTTAGCCTGTACACATTTTGGTAGGAGAAACTTGTTTCGAAGTTCTGAACCTCTGAATATGCAAGAATACAACACTTCCAGCGAATTCTTGATGGTTTTTTTTTCTCCAGCTTTTTATCCCCAGATTTATTAATATGTTTTTTTTTTTTTTAACTATTGGCACAGGTATTTAGGTCGAAAAGACATAGCTTTGAACTTCCGAACCACTAAGCATGTGACGAGTAGTGCCTTCTGACAACGAGTTTCTAACAATGACCATCTACGCGATCTTTTATGCAGTGAAGAGCGACAGTAGCTATACATATGCATAAATAATTTCAGATTAAAATAAGCTTGACCACGCCCTCTTTACCTGTATTGTTTTCTTTAACAGTCCGAAATATCTGGAAGGGGGGGAAGGGGGGCTGAAGCCCCCCCCCCCCCGTTTTTCCTCTTCCGACGCCACTTGTATGGTAGAATGCTCCTCGACCTCGAGTTGTGTCGGCTTCTGTGCTTTTTGCGAGGCGATTCCTCCGTCCCAAAAAATAAACCTCCAGGACAATTACAAACTTAATTTACTATACGCCAGCATCACTCAGGCGGCGTTCGATCGGATTACTACCAGCGTGCAAGGGGTGGGGAGGTAGTTTGCCAGGTCGCTTCAAGGTTTTTCTAAGCCTCAACCTCCTGCTCGCCCCTGGCCGTTTCGAACTGGATCAGTATCGTAAAACAGTGTGTTCGTGTGATCACTACTGCGTGATGCAGGTTAAAGACCCCCCCCCCCCCCCCCCCCGGGCTGGCGGTCACAATTACTGATCTATGGTCACACGTCACTCTGCACTGGCAAATATTCCAGCACATCCGGGACTCTCGTCATCTCATTTAATTGCCTGACCAATTTCGCAAAGTCTAGATATCACACCCTAACTTTTCTAAACTTGATTTCGTGAAAACCAGTGAGTCGTGAAAACGTTATTTGAAACTGAAACTGTGGAGGAACTTGAAAACCGGACTTCGAACTTTGAAAACTTGGACTTAAAAGAAATTCAAAATCTTCAAAGTTTTTTTTATTTTTTTATTTAGCGTTAAAAGAGAATTGAAACCTTCGAACTTTTCTAACTTTATGCAGAAAGAAATTTGAAATCTTCGAATTGTTCGAACTTCATGTCTATAAAAATTCGAAACGTTCGAATTTCATTTTTAAAGAATTTCGAAATCTTCGAATTTATCGAACTTCAGATCCCAAGAAATTCAAATTTTTCGAATACCTCGAATTTCAAGCTAAAAAGTTCGAAATCTTCGAATTTATCAAACCTCAAGTAAAAAAAATAATTGAAATATTCAAACTTTAAATTTTAGAAACCGTGAAAGCTTCGGACTTTTCGAATTCGAAACTCCACTGTGATCTAAAGTTGCGAATTTTTCTAATTCGAACCTCGGTCGGTACGAAAATATCAAAATTTTTCAAAATTGAACCTTAGTTCGCTTCGCAAATATCGAAACCTTCCGAAATTGCACCTAGGGTGGTTCGCGACATCCCAAACTAAAACTGAATTTAGAGAACTTTGTCGACAACATTTGGTTTTTGCTGCATTTACTTGTGTTGAAATGACAATATTTATAAAATATAGACCTTTTCTGTGTACTCTCGTCCCCAGCCACCTAATACGCGTATCCGGTATGGGCGACGAAAAAATAATCCAACGTTTCAACCTGCAAATAGTAAAAAAATAAAGGGGAGGCAAAACGAGAAAGTGTGACAGTTACGCTTATATCCTCAATTCCTTCTGTTTGCGTGGCAAAGGCAAAACAATGTTTTCACCCATACTGGAAGTGACGTTAAGTCAAGATGGCGGCGCACTTGCAGAAAAGGTCTATAGCATTAGGTTGACCACATAATGACACATCTTGCCCACTTATTCATTTATACCCCTTGTGCGTCACAATTCCTATGGCCACCACCCTGCGGCTGCAAACTGAGAAATCTTCCTGATCTTTTCGTTGCTATCACGCAACAGGATTGCAATATTTGAAAAAAAAAATGAGGTCGTTTATCCATTTGTTTTGGTAGGATAAGCAATGTAAGAATTTAAAACTACAAATTATTTCCAAGTTAAAATTGTTGCATCGCCCCTTTAAAATGTTGTCAGGAAACTATACACAGTCAATATCTTGCTACAGAGTCAGATAGATTTTTAATAAAGTAGAAAAACACAACTCCTCGAAACCAAAACCGAAACATAAGCACAGAGTTAATGGCCGCGAAATGTGGTCTGGAAAAGAGGGAGAAATGTAGCGGAGGAGAGAGTTGGTCGGAAGTCACATGGCTACACCCAACCGTGTTTTTTTTTTTTTTTTTTGTGCGAAGCAGATGAAGGACTTGCAAATGTCAAGCACGAAGTGCTTCACGCTTTCGCTTTTTTTAAGCTCTTACTAATTTGTGTTCATAAGACAAGCAATGTCATCAGCCACGAGAAGGGACGACGACTCGGCGATGTCTTCGTGCGAATCAGCTTAGTGGTCGGGCGTGTCGTACGGAATAAATCATAATTGTTTTGATTGGTAAAAAAGTTCTCTTTCAAGGCTAGACAGCTTCGCCGGTACCACGAACGACAGCTCTGACTGAAGTAGAGGTCCCATGCTCGTCGTCCGCCGCCATCGCTTAGTCTGCTTTGTCCAGCCGTCTAGCCCGCGCCCCCAGCCATACAATTCCATGTTGAGCATTATGCAGTACATGTACTTCCAGTACTCTGTGCAACTTTTTTTCTTTTTTTTTTTTCACTCAATGCATTTGCAGCTTTTTAGAAGCCACAAAAACTGGGTTTCATATTTTTTTTCTTTCTATTTTTAATATTGAGTGTGTGGCTTCGATGACTCACGACTTTGATTGCATTTGGTACGTGTGTCTGAACAGCACGTGACCACGGAGAAGGAAGTGAGCACGACTCAAACTGACCAGTTCTCGATCGGCAGTTTTCGGGAGAAAAACAAATGAATTTTGAGCCCCAAATCGTGTTTTGGGTAGCTGGGCTCTCATGTGTCATGTACAAGTAAAAACCTTGGTGAGCACAAATACCCTGTCAGTGTCCCTTTAAGACAAACTTGGCTGGCTAGTTTGTAGTGTCACAATAACTTGCTCCAATAAAAATATGAGCAAACAGTAATCCTAAGATTGAGCCAACTCCACCGCAGCATTTAGGAAGGAGGTCGAATTGGAAAACTCTGCGACGAGAGCTGGTGTTTGTTAAGATCCTTCAGCTAATCTGCCACCGACTTCCTCCAAAAAGGTCTCTCCTCGTCTATGTCATTCCGTTCTCTGCTACTATTCCTAGCCTTTCCCATGCTCATGCACAAGCGGTGTGATATGTTAGCTCTCAAAATCAGCAGATGGCACAATTTTTCTGCCGCATTTGTTCTTCAACATCTACTGCAACATTTACTGTGGCAACAAAGCCCTAGTGCCAGCATTCAGCATTAATACTGGACAGAGTTCAAATAGTGTATCACAGCTCAAGTTTATGCGGTTGGCAGACTCCTGACTTAGAAAACAATAATGAAAGGTGCTTAAGTCCATTAAAGGTAACCTCAATGCATAAAGAGTACTTCGAGAGACCTGCAATCAATTTCAACATTCTGTTATCTCTGGTAGTGTCCCTTACACTGTTTAGGAACTAAAGTGCAAGCCAAAAAGTAAGCATAGACATCCTGCTTCTCAACCAGTCTGCGGTCATACCAGGCTGTGACATGGTGACATACACGTGCAACTATGGCGGGATTAGAAGCACCAGAAACGCAACATACAAATAGAAAACAAATTAAAATAAGAAGCAGGAAATAAAATAAAAAGTGGTGCAACCATTGTTTGTGTCGTTTCCCTTCCTCGAATGGCCTGCACGCTACTACCCTGCAGCTAACCGGCCAGTCGCTTTGCTCCCATTATTGGCTGCTCAAATATTGGCCAGTAATGTCATGCAACTTATCTTTTTATTTTCGAATTGTGAATTGAATCTGCTCCTAACTCCTAAGACCCGCTTCAGATGGGGCAACTTTATCCAGCAATTTTGAGGTTGCTGGCGGCTTTCCCTAGATCGACACAAATTGCTGAGATCGGGTGCAGCTCGAAACGGACAAGCAATGCGGACAACTCGGAGACGTTTGAAGCGGCAGCAGCCAATCAGGGGCGCAATATTTTCATGTGACACCCCCGTGGTGGTGATGATGACAGCTAAAGACTTAGTTCTGGTTTGAAATAGATTGTTTTTGAAAGTAAACCTTTTCAGAAATATGACTTAGTAACCTCAACACCATTCACAGATATAAAAACAGGTTTTTCGCGCGTAGCTGTTTGTCTAAATAGTGCACAAAAAATCAAATTTCATGATGATGATGGCAAGTCGTAGCAATTTGGTTGCTGCATGTGAATGCGGGCGACCCGTGTTGTGACGTCAAGTTGCTGGGCGAAATTGCCCCGTCTGAAGCGGGCCTAATAAAACGAAATTTTTTATAAATGTTTATCTCTCATTCCTACGGATCACTTTGTGCCCAAATTTGGAAGCAGCCCAAAAATGAGCGCAGGTCGAACAGAGTGAAAGCACGCCACAACATGGTTACGCTTTTTCGGTGTCTCACATTGTCCCGCACCCTCGACCTTGGATTCCTCGGCATAAACCGGCCTGAGGTTTGGGAGCTCGACGCTCCCTCGCACCGTCACCTTTGGGCCCGTCCCTGCGTCGAAGATGGTGCACGTGTAGATGCAGCTCGTGTGCACGTTGAGCACGCTGGCGTAGATGCGGGAGCTGCAGTATCCCACCGGGTAGATGCTCTCCTCCGAGTGGAAGCCCGCACGGTCGGTCACAATCTCGCCCAGGCTGTGCACCTTGCAGCCGGGCAGGGTGATTGGGAAGATGGGACGCCCCGACGCGTCTAGCGGGATGGGAGCCACCAGCTTCTTGTCCGCGGCGGGCTTCTTGCGCTTGGGCCGAGGAACAGCCATCGGCTTGGTTCCCAACACCTCTTCGGCGCCCTCCTGCGGAAAGTGCAAGTGGAAACAGCCCGCACATTTTACCAAAATTGTCCGAGAGTGAGCAGTTCAGTATTCGAGGCGTACCGCAATTGCATATCTTAATTTCCCAGCCTTTTACGGGTTTGTCTCATCTTGGAACTCTTTCATTTGGCGCAATCGGGACGTATGGGCCTGTCCAAGATGGTAATAGTGACCCGTGACTTGCGCGACTGTAAGGGGACGAACGTATGGCAGACCCATTGTTCTCAGCGTGCGTTTTGACGTCTCTAGGCATGGTTATGGCAGTCGTGCTTCGAGAAAAGGCATGAGCCACGAAAGAGGACAAACCATCCTAACAGACTCTTCCGGATATACGCTGCACCTCCCATCGTCTTTTTGACACACTTCTGCAATCCGATGTATGGCGCGTGAAAGAGCGCACATAAATAGAGGGAGCGGATCACGTTTCTTTATCATTTTGGGATTTCAGAAAAGAAAGAAAGCAGGGCGATCCCAAGACGGGGTACTTATCAGCTTTGTCATGTGTTTGCTCGATTTTCTTTATGTCCTCAACTCGCAGTGGTGAGAGAGAGAAGGAACTGAGCCACTTTCAGGATGTATGGAGCGTACAAGGTGGCCAGAGCGAACATCAAAACACCCCCATAATTTCCTGCGCCGCGTGGCGCAATGTGGGATTGACGAGAGGCCTTGTGGGATTTTCCGGAAAGGTCTATTAGAGACGCTGAAATAAGTAACTTTCTTCTTACTTTTTCCGCACTAGCTATAACCTCTAGCATTTTAAAGGTGATACTTCAACGAAATTTGAAATATACCTGTTGTGTTCAGAAATAGGCTGAATATGATCCACAATATCCGTAAATGACAATCGCACATTTGTATTTCGAGCCTGGTGGCTGTATTTTTTGTTATAAACGGCCCACTCTAGCAAGCGCTCGGAGAGCAGCCAGAGGAGAGCGCGTGACATCTGGTGCAATCGTGATATAAACTGCCTTGGCACGTGCAAAGCTGCGGCGAGGCTGACGTCAACAGAATGTCTTAGCCGTTCCAACCACCGAAGCGGATGAAGCACGCCAGCGATCGGGCCACCGCAACTAACCACAAAGCTGCTTTTGTATGAATTTTGAGTGACGGGTTAATATTCTATAATCTTGTAGAGGGACAATAGCGACGTCTCGGACACAGAAAAGAAAGTCCCGGTGAGAGGGGAGTTCCTCCTTCCCCTCTTCTCTCATGGTGGCCTGAGAGCTGAAAGGGATGACGTCAAATTCAAGGCATGTATAGTTCTAGGCGAGACAGGCATCGTCACTATCTGTCAAAGATTCCTAGACGGGCACTACAAACAAGGTTTTAGCAACATCCACCAGGTGCCCTTTGCTAATCGTTTAATTTGTTTTAAAATTCCTTTTCATGTCGTTTTCAACAAGAGATTAGTGTGTCCGACGTAATACTGCTCCCTTGAACACGTATAGACCAAGAAATAAGCACAGAAATTTTGTTACAGTATCCCTTTAAAGGGGTTAGGAAACGCGATAAATAAAATATGAGATAACTCTACTGCTAGGACCCATTGTATGTTCCTATATTCCTGCTAAATTTCTTTTGAAAAAGGCACAATAGTTTCATGGATAAATAGATTTACATGCGGGACCCTCGGATCCGCCCCATTCGAAAAGGCCGCCGTGGTTGTCGGGATGTTGATGTCAGCTGCCCAAAGTGCAGTGTCCCCTTGCACGCACTCAGACTTGGCTCTCTTAGCGTCTCGAGCTTCAGCCTCCTCGTTTACCATTCGTGTTTTAAGCATGTAGTTCGTGAAGATTACATCTATGGCATCGCTCGATTCATTGAAGTCTTCGACACTAATCGCACCAGTGATGAGAGTGACTGTTATCAAGAGATGTTGAAAGCTGGTCATCTTGACTGCAAACCGCTGGCGACCAGCTCTAGCGACAGAGTCACGAACGACCTCGCCATCGTCGCTGTGGCAATCTCGCAGGCGCATGCAGGGTAGAAGCTCAAAGGGCCAGGGACGAGAGCGAGAAAAGCTTTGGGGTTGCCGAGTGGCATGAGCAATTTCAATCGTACCGCGGCGAGGCAAGTTTGGGCGATCATGGGGGCGCTTAGAATGAGAGAGCATTCATGGTCACGTGGTTTATGGGCACCATGGTGCTACTAACTTGGTCAGTGTAGCCTGGTCGCCAGGTGAAAATTATCGCAATTCGTAAATTGATTATTGCAATTACTAGAGCTCTAAAAATCGCTTTGTTATGTACTAAGTAGCCTATGAGCATTCCATTTCAAGAATAATCCTCCCGTTTTTGTGTCCTAACCCCTTTAAGAGAGTATTTCCAACAGAAGCTTCCCAAGAGATGAAAATATGTGACGTGCTTAAGTTGTTGGGGCCACATTCTGTCTTCTGTACATCTGCGAGCTGTGGACACTTGAAAATAGTTGTGAGTGCCATGTTACTTTTGGGTTTCATATGAGGGCCACTTGGTAAATCGTAATTAAGATGCAAATGTCACCAGCTTTCAACTCTAAATAAGGTATCCTTGCTTGTCCTCGACCCCTTTACGAGTGTTCATTTTTTATCTATTTGGTGCTCTATGGAAACACGCCCAGATCAATTTGAAAGGACAGCAACGGGCGCCTTGCGCACTGCCCGGACTCACTCTGCTATCCTTGGTATTCCGTCGCTTAAGAAGCTTCTTGGATGACTTGGCCGCAGACCTGTCGGCACCTTCTGGCACCGCGCTCGAGCTCGGCGTCGAAGCGAGGCTAAGCGGCGGCGTCGTGCTGCTGGGCCCCACCGCCGCGCTCTGGGGGACTGTCGTCCGAGCCACTTGCGGCTCGCTCGACGCATCGCGCTGATTGTGGTAGTAGTAGAACTTTTTCAGAAGAAATCTGCGTTCTTCCTTAGCGACGAAGATTGACTCCTGAACTCGAGCAACTTCGTCGCAGAGAGCGGCGCTCTCGAGAACCAGGTCCTTCATGAAGCGCTCCAGTTTTCGACACTTCGTACGGTACCGTTCGTTCTCCATGGTGAACATAAGGTTAGCTCGCTTGAGTGCCAGGTTGCTCGGCCCCTTTTGGCGAACATTGCGGGGAAAGTATTTGATTGTGTGCGGAACCCCAACGTCCAGATCGCTAGAATCGTCCGAAACATCGTCGTTCATGCTTGGTGTTTCGCTCGCACTTGGACGCTCTTGCCCTCGCGGCGGGCTGCTGTTGGTTATGCTGCTACTCTGGCTACGCTCGGTGCTTGATCAGCACGGCGAGAGACTTCTCGGAATCAGTCAGGCTGAACATAATATGCAATACAGTTGTTAGTCCGCTCAGTCCGCTGCACCAACCACCATTACAATTACAATCGCTCAAGAGTATTTGGATTGGCTTGGATTCTGCCTTCTTTTTGTATAGTTGTCTACAAGGTTGACAAGGTTAGGATTATTTAATAATTTGACATTTTCTGAGTTTAACCAATTATTTGAGAAAAATAGCTTTTTAGCATACGTTGGACTTATTTTATGGTGCCGCCAACTTACTGAGCCACCAAACCTTTTATTGTTATTCTTATTATTCTCCTTCTTATTATGAATGGATAAATGTGGATGGTGCCCAGAGCATCCAGAGCCGTTTCCGGCTGTGGATGGATCTGACGGTTTTGAATCGTTCTGAATCTCTGATCTGAATCAGGCGGCGGCTTGCGTCACCTCGCATAGCGCATAGCAGAGCCGGCAGAGCCGCATAGCGCAACAGAACTTATTCCAATATTATCCCAGGCTCTGATCCTCTGACGCTCTGACCTTCGCCCCTTCGCGCCTTCGCCTTCCAGTCGCGCCAACTACAGCCGGCGAGGTCAGCGTGGTGCACGACCTGCAGTGTGCTCACGAGTGTAGTACCGTTGGCGCAGATAGAGCGTAAAGCCGGTGTCGGTAGGGCAGTCGGGGTACTCCGTGCAGTAGAGCCGGCGAGGGTTAGTAAGCAACGTGATTGCGCGCTGTCGGCAGCTTGAAGGTTACCCGCTTTTCAGTAATCTAGCAAAATGCCCCACATCGACAACGACATTAAACTGGACTTCAAGGACGTGCTGCTGAGGCCAAAACGGAGCACTCTCAAGAGCAGGATCGAGGTAACACTCGAGCGCTTGGCGCGCGTCTCTCAGTCGTATCCCGTTATCGTTTTCATTCATTCATTCCTGAATGGTTGCTATCGCCCTCGATACGTGATCTGCGCGTTTGTAAATACGATAACGTTGCGGGAGAAGGTGGGGTCACCGACTGGTTTCACTGCACGTCACCGGGGATCGAATTTGTGTGCCGTCTTTCAGGTAGACCTCAACAGGTCGTTCAAGTTTCGGAACTCCAGGGCTTCCTTCGATGGCGTCCCGATCATTGCAGCCAACATGGACACGGTGGGAACATTTGAAATGGCCCAGGTCCTGGCAAAGGTATGCCCATTTTCGACTCGTTGCGTAGTGTTGCCGGGGCACGGTCGCTGGTGCCACTGCTACCGATGTGTTGAGCCTCGGGCACTTCCCTTTCTCTCCTCAGAATTCTCTGTTCACGGCCATCCACAAGCACTATTCTGTCGAGCAGTGGAAGGAATTCTGCTCCAGCAACCCCAGCATCGTTGAGGTCTGTCGTCGCCAGCGGGGAACGGAATGAGACTCATCTGTGAATGGAAGGCATGCTCTATGAATGCATGCTCCATTCGCGTGAATAGATTTTGCACGATAACCCAAGCATCAAATACAGCGTGCGCACGAATACGGGTGAAGCCTTTAAAGGGATAGAAAATCGAAAGCTGAAATATACCTCTCACGTTCAGAAATAGGTTAAACATGATCAACTCAATCTTCCAATGACAGTCGCGCACTTATATCTTGAACGGACGGCTGTCTTTTGCGTTCCAAAGGAATGATTCTAGCGAGCGCTCGAAAGTCAGTCATCGGAGAGCGTGATGCATCACAGGTCACATGATGTCAACTGGTCCAGCACGGGCAAAGCTGCTTGGGGGCTGGCGTGGTTATATGACCTCTGCCATTTGGTGTCGTCAGCACGTTAAAACTTGGCCAATTTTTGTAACAACATTTGGTTTATTCCTTTTAAATAATGTTTTGGTATCTGCATGTTTAATCATTCTTTGGAGCTTTGTTTTTGTTCACGAAAGAACCCCCACAGACAAGCAAACAGAAGTTGCTTTGGCTGCGTGTGCCGCAGTTTTCCAGTCGTATCCTTACACCGCGCGTGACGTCACTTTTTACTCCTTGTGCAGAATGTCGCTGTGAGCTCGGGATCGAGTCAAGCAGACTATGAAAAGATGAAGGCAATCCTCAAGGAAATCCCCCAACTGCGTTACATCTGCCTGGACGTGGCCAACGGTTACTCTGAAGTCTTTGTGCAGTTTGTGCGCGCCGTGAGGAAAGAGTTCCCCAACCACACCATCATGGTACGCTTCTAGCTTTTTCAAGTTTGATTCGACCAAACCTCATTGGTAAAATGTAACATGATACGTTAAGAAACCTACTTATATGCTGCTTTAAGAGGGCCAGCATGTCACCAGATCCTTGCTGTAGGTGACGGTTGTTCTGTGTGCAAGATTCATCCCAACTGAAGGTTGGACTGCATGGGGCGCTTAATCTGTGAACAAGGGACGAATTTCATCCAACAGCAGTCGTCATGTGTGTGGTATCTGACTGTTGATGCCGTGCACAAAGCGAGTGATCCACCAGGCAAAGTTTGCCAATTATTAGCTGTATACTTGCTTCGTAGACTCCAGCCCTTAGTGCTTCGGCATCTAAAGTATCAGTTAGTTTATGTTTTGGGGAAGCTGAATAGATCATTTTTCATGGGTGCTAAAATACAGGTATGTCCCGCATTGAATTTGATTTTTTCACAAACAAGCATGATTTTTTAGATTGATGCAGTCGTCCCACTTCTAAACCGTTATTTGAGTGATTTGTGCAAAGCACATAAATGTTAGGGTAAATGAAGAGACCTAATAAATAGACCTATTGCTATATTACCCAAGCATCAAGGAGAATGCAGAGATTGGTGTTGCACGCGCCACACGCGCACGCCTTCCCCGTATAAAAGATTCGAAGTAAATAACCAAAATAAAGTGTCGACGAACGCGCGTGCAAGATGCCATTTGTTTTGGGTATTTGCTTTCGAAAAGTTACTACTGCTGATGCCAGAACGCGCGGCGTGTGGAACACCAATCCCTGCATTCTCCTTGATGCTTGGGTAATATAGCAATTCGTCTATTATGGCTGTATTAAGTTTTAGCAAAGGTGGAGGAGGGGTGTGTGTTGTTGCTGAGGAGCATAACTGTTTCTCCTAAGGGCAGAACTATCGCATCTCTTTCCATGCCATTTGATACTCCCAGGTACAAAATAAACCCCAAGAAAACCTGGCCTTGTCAAAACTTAGAGAGCCATTGAATTTCTGACACGATCTAAAAAAAGTGTGACATTTTCTAGTTTGTACTGTATTTCCGTTACAGAAGTCACATTGCCTTATGTTTTACTTTTTGAATTGACAGCTGCTACTAGGGATGCCGCAAACCTGCTGAGTTTCGAGTTATAAAAGTTCAGAAGATTTCGAACTCCGTTAAAGGCCGCCGTACACTTCGCGCTTTCCACTTTTGCCCCTCCTCCTCCTTTCCTATATCCTCTCTACCTTTTTTTCGTGCCCCAGCTTGGCTCCCCTCGCAGCTTAGGAGAGGAAAGTTCTTAAGAGGATTATCTTCCCTGCAGAAAACTGAGGTTGGTGCGTTGGCCTTTAAAGAGACGTTAACACCCCCTCCCCCCTTGCCCCCCCAAATTGTTGCTAGGCGATTTATTATGGGGTCAGAAGGCTACCCAATTAAAAATTTTCCTACAGAGCCACATATCTTTTTAATAAAGTAATAAAAATGCAACTGCTAAAAACCGAAACTTGAGCACAGAGTAGTGGCCGCGACGTGTGGACTGGGGGGGAGAGAGAGATGCAGAGGAGTGTGTTGCGGGAAGTCAAGTGGCAACACTCAACCCTACTTTTTTTTTTTTTTCCTTCGGTTGTGCAAAGCAGACCGCACAAACGTCAGGCACTTCGTGCTTGATGTTTGCACGTTTTTCAAGCTCTTCCCACTTAGTGTTCATAAGACGAGCGATATCTTCAGCCAGGAGAAGGGGCGACGTCTTCGTGCTAATCAGCTTAGTGGTAGAACTTGTCGTACAAAATAAACCCTAATTGCTTTGATCGGTAAACGACTTATCTTTCGAAGCTAGACAGTTTCACCGGTGCCGCGAACGGCAGTTTTGAAATAGAGGTCCCACGCCTGTCGTCCGCCGCCATCGCTTATTCCGCTCCGTTCAGCCGTCCAGCCTGCGACTCCAGCGATACGACGGCATGTTGAGAATTACGCAGTACATGTAATTCTGATACTCTGTGCAATTTTTTTTTTTTTTATTAATCAACGTATTTGCAACTTTTTAGAAGCTGCAAAACACAAAATGGGTTTCATATTTTTTTTCTTCTATTTTTAATATTGAGTGTGGCTTTGATGACCCACGACTTTGATTATATTTGTTATGTGTGTTTGAATGGCACATGACCATGGACCAGAGAGTGAACGCGACTCAAACCGGCCAGCTCTCGATTAACAAGTTTTGGGAGGGAAAAAAAACTTGAATTTTGAGCCGCAAATTGTGTTTTGGGTAGCTGGGCTCTCATATGTCATGTACAAATAAAACCTTGGCAAGCATAAATACCCTGTCAGTGTCCCTTTAAAAAAAAACCTGAAAAGAAAAAAAAAAAAAAAAATTTTAACAGTCTGGTTGGGACACAACGTGTCAAAAAATTATTTTTACGCAAAAACATATTTTTAGAGCAATATTGACGGCGTGAGACGCAATTTCGTCAGCAGTCACCTCCTTTCCACTTGTTTTCTTTTTCTGCATTTCGGGCGCATGGAGGAGAGGTGGATCGGCTTGGCCTTCACGACCGAGATGGTCATTCCGGAATGATTCGTGACATCATGGACTTCACGTGCAGAGTTTCAAATAAATTTCTCGCCGTCAATATTGCTCTAAAAATTTTTTTTCTGCGAAAAATTTATTTTTTGACAGTCCCAACAGGACTGTTTAAAAAATTTTTTTTTCAGGGGCCCTTTAAGGGGACATATGCCAGGGGAAAACATTATTTTATTGTTTACCATAAGTGAATGAAATTTTCACAGTTTGTAGTGCTTGATCTCCTCTTTTACTAATCTGGTGTTAGTTTTGCTTTAGGTTCTTTTATATGTTCTAAATGCAATGCAGATGAAAAAAAAAATGAAAAAAAACTAAACATGTTTTTGCATACATGTGGGACATGGCAACACTCTCAAAAAGCCTAGTAAAATGAGCTAATTAACTTTTTTTTAAACCACTGAATGCAATGAACAACAATAATGTGTGCGAGACCACTTTTATTAAAATAATTGGGAATTGCAAAAACACCTGTTTTCAAAGGGCTTACAAAAGTTTTTCATAAATATAAACTCTATCAAAACCTTGATAGTTGCATTCTACATATCCTAAACTATATGCATGCCATATTTGGTTGTGATAGGACATTATTGAGAACAAAAATTCTTGTGCATAACTGTGAAGATACTCAAAAATAACAAAAAAAAGAAAAACATGTATGAATATTACCATAGATATGTAGCTACACTCTTTCGCGGTGGTAAAAAGATGATTGTGTTACTAATTTTTTGTGAGAAATTGAGACTGCAGAAGTATGCGACAGAGAGACAGCCAGGCCTAATTCTCAAAATAAATCTGATAGGTTCAAAGATACCCTGAAACCCGAAAGCACATTTTTTTTTTTTGGAAAAATATTGCAGTTTTTTTTTTTACTTGCATCTTATTAAGGTTTGAATAAGAAAAGTTTACAAGTTTCAAACCTCGCTGAGGTTCGAATTTGAAAAGTGTGAAGATATCAAAGTTTCTTAGAATTCGGGTTCGAAGGTTTGAAGTTTCTGTACAATTCAAGTTATAAAAACTCGGATTTTTAATTATTTTAAGATTTAAGTTTGTAAGGTTAGAAGATTATTGAATTTATGTTTGAAGTCTTTGAAGCTCGCAAACGATGGTCAAATTCTGCAGTTTCGAATAAAGTTTTAAGGGATTCATCTTGAACAATTGCATAAAGTGCAACGGTTCAAAAACAACTGTTTTAGATATTTTTTCTTCCCTCGGGCAATTCAAGAATGGAACGAATTACCAAACGCTGTCATCATCAACACAACCGTTGCTAATTTTGTATCTGCTCTTGAATTTATACTTAAGTGAGTTGTCATTTATAAATCTGCATCTTGTTTACATGTTTGTACCGACTCCTACCATGGCTCCTTGAGTGGAGCCGGTAGTATCCCTAAATAAATAAATAAAATCCCACTAAAAATATGACACATTTCTGTTATGCCGTAAAGACCCTTTCCTTGTCAGTCCTGTGGTACTTGCAGTACTGCTCGTTATTTACAAAGCCGGGATGCCTCTGGCTTCCGAAAATAATCTGGTCAGGTCACGACTCTATGTGCATCAGGCTCACCCCTTCACCAGTTTCTTGCGCTTTTCTTCTCTGAATAATTAAATAGGGGGAGACGTTGGACACGCTAAAATGCAGCCGGTTACTACCATATTTACTCGAGTAATAGACACACTACTTATCGGTCTTGTACGTGTTACTGAAAAAAAGTGACCAATTACAATTACTTTATTGATAAATGTAATTGATTACAGTAATCAATTACTGCATCGCAGAAGTAATTGAAAAATTACCAGAGTAATTTATTACTTTTCACATTACTTTTTTTAGTCTATTTATTACGAAATCAAAAATGCATACATATGTTAAAAGTGGTTATTTTTTTGTCATTCACACCTTGCTACGCTTCAACAGCAGTTGTTGTTGGAAGTTCTTGTCAGTCATCTTCCCAGGTTTCCTGGTAAAGATATCTGCCGCGGCGCTGAAGACCCTCTCGACGGATGCGCTTGGGGGAAAGGGTTGTAGCGCACAAACACTTTGCGTACCAGTTTGTGGTGAACTCTTTCAAGATAGAAAGGGGGGGGGGGGGGGGGGGGCTGGGGGCTGGGAGGTCTTTGTCGTGGCTAGATGAAGTTAGTGCAGAACACAGCCGAATATGCCGCGGCAAACTCAGATTGTAACAGGCCGTACACAGAAAACTAGGCACTCTCGACAGCTCGACAGTCCAAACGTCGCTGCGCTCATTGTCATTCTAATCTTTATGGTATCTTAATACATTTTTTTAGTTGTTAAGGGGTAAAAAAAAAGTGTTCAGCATTGGTTCAACACAGACAAGTGACGCACAGGCAAACAGAGAGGTTTTTTATGTAAAAAAAACTCAATCATTTTAACTCTTTTGGAAGCATATAATTGATGACTTGTAATTGATTACAGAAAAATAGTAATTGGACTACAGCAAATGTTACTGCAAAATGCAAAAAAAAAGTTCTTGAAGTGTTAAAAAGTTACAATAAAATGTAATTGATTACAAGTAATCAGTTACTTGTAACTCGTTACGTACCAATCTGCTACCTACGAACAAGACCCTTGCATCTATTTTCCGGTAGAACGCAGATACATCCAATTTGCGTGTTCTGCCTTAATAACATGGTGAATAACAAAGTCCAGAACACAAATTCTCCGTAAAAGTGCGATCTGCGCAGATAGCATTTTCGCGTGCAGATGTTACCTTTGTCTCGTAAGTTGCTGCATCGTGGTGATTGGCTACCCATACACTCCGCAGAAAAACAAATTCACAGGCTTTGTTCACAAACAGTGCATCTTTTACTCAAGTAAATATGGTCATGTGTCAGCATCGCTGTCTGTGCGGACCTTTCCCCGATGAGCTGCTTACACAAGCCAGCCGCTTACACGAGGAAATTCGGGGAGTTAAATTCGGAAAGAACTAAGGTTATGAACAGATCCAATGGCTCTAAGTTTTAGATGGGAAAGGCTCTGTGTGATAGGCGGAGAAAAAAAAGTACGGGGCACGAAGCTGAGGCGCCGAAGCCAAAGCAAGCCTTTGGTGACAGGATCGGCTAACTGAAGCTTCAGTGCAATATTTCCGTTCTTATTTTTGTGTTATCTACATTTGTTTGAACCAACTTTAACTTTTGTCCAGAAGTTCAAAGTTCGTCAAACTTTTGAACTTAGCGGGTTCGAAGGTAACGTTACACAGATGATTCAGGTGGACGCTGTCCAAAGCCGACCTTAGCTGATGTCACGGCCAGGCTTCTTCCCGTTGAAGTGCTCGGCAGGATATGTTGCTGAAGTGGAGAAGTTTGAAGGTCATGGGTCATGATGTCCAGCAGTCGGAATGTTTCTGAGCTAATGACTGTGCAGGCAGAACCGGAGTCGACTTCCATGGACAGAACATGTCTGTTGATCCCGACGTCTGCGAAGGTAGCCGGGGTGACGGAGTTAACAGCCAAAAGTGATTGAAGGAGCTTTCTCCACAGGTTGACCCGTATGGCAAATGGATTGTGTGACATGGTAGACATCTGTACTGGGGAACAGATCAGATCAGTCAGCTGGTGGTTGCGGCCTCTGGACCGCCATTCAGAGTTGGAACGAGACGGTTAGAACTCAAGTGGCTTTCCCTGTTTCTTCTTTTTTTTTTTTACGCTTTCTTGTGACAAGCTTTCTGTAGATGCCCCTTGTTGCCACAAAAGTGGCATGCGACACTGACCTAGGAACAGGTTGAGGCATCGTGGGAACCAGTACATCTCCAGCACTGGGAATGTGGAGATTGACCTTTTTTGGAAGCACTACCGGTGGGGGGCTTCCGCGGGATGTGCGTCACTCAGTTTTGCTCTTGGCGAGCCTCTGACCTGGTGCAACGAAGTTCTTGCATCTTTGCAAGCGCTTTCTCTATAGCCCTGGCCATCTGGACAGCTTTGGCAACTCATCCAAAAATCGGTGCTGGAGGGTCTCGTCGTGCAAGCCACACGCCAGTTAGTCGCACTGTAGACGGTCAAGCCAGTCCTCAAATTCACAATGATGGGAGAGCTGCCGCAGTGCCGCCACATATGCCGGTACTGTCTGCCCTTGAAGATGATCCCGTTTGTTCAAACGAAAGTGTTCCAAGGTGACAGAGGGCTTGCCGACGAAGTGGGTGCCAAGTTTTGCCACGATGTCAGCGTACAGTGTCTTTAGCGGTGTCTTAGAACGCACAGAGAGCGCAGGAGGGTATAAGTGTCCACACCGCAGGCACTGCAGAGCATGACTTTTCGCTTGTCATGGGTTCTAATGTTCTGCACTTGAACATAAAATTCAAGCTGCTCTCAATACAATGGCCAAGCGGCAGGCCGACTAGGTGAAAGCTCGGCCAGGACGAGAAAATCTAAATGTATCAAATCTTTCGAACCCCTTGTTTCAGTCTTCAAACGTCAGGTTGGGAAAAAGTTTGCGGCATCCCTTGCTGCTGCTACCTTCGAGGGCACGGCTGTTTAGTTTCCCCTGGCTGACATTGGTAGACCTTTATTTCTGCGCGAGGTAGCCATTTAACAGTGTTGCATATCGTTAGCGACTAAATATTGTTCAACCTTGAAAGCATGTACTTATACTCTGCTGCACTTTTGAAATTCAAGGAGTCTAAATTGTGCAGCCTGTAGCAAGCTGGAATGTGTGGGAGTGGTTCACAGGAACTGCAGTCTTGCGGCCTCTGAAGGGAGCCTTTATGCTGGTTTTGATAAGACCATATCTGCATGTAGGTGCAGGCTGCCAGGGAAAGGTTGTTTTAAGGGCCGACAAGCAGCCGGAAAGAAAAGAAGTCCCTCAATTCCTTTTTTCCGTTCGAGAAAGAGGGAGAGCCTCTTCCTTTTTGTGGTGAGTAGCTGAGATCCCCGCTCCTGCGGGGAAGGGAGAAGGAAAAAATGGAGAGAAGGAAATTGTTTTCACCCCCACAGAGTGTGCCACGGTGCTGTCCCTGAAGATGCCCCGAAGAAGGTGACGACGGTCAATGAAAACAGTCTTCCCCTACAGGCGGGCAACGTGGTCACTGGGGAGATGGTGGAGGAGCTGCTGCTCTCCGGGGCAGACATCATCAAGGTGGGCATTGGCCCCGGTTCCGTCTGCACCACCCGCAAGAAGACCGGCGTGGGCTACCCACAGCTGAGTGCCGTCATCGAGTGTGCTGATGCTGCCCATGGCCTGGACGGTCACATTATCTCGGTGAGGCTCGAAAATTCGCTTGAGTCGTTCGTGTTCCCAAAGCATTTGGAGGTGTTGTCGTCTTGGAGGTAACTGGATTCCCCGGGGCTGCGATTTCAGGATGGCGGCTGTACCTGCCCTGGAGACGTGGCCAAGGCATTTGGCGCCGGGGCAGACTTTGTTATGCTCGGGGGCATGTTGGCCGGACACGATCAGAGCGGCGGTGAAGTGATTGAGAAGGATGGCCAGAAGTACAAGATGTTCTACGGCATGAGTTCTGCCACTGCCATGGAGAAGTACCATGGAGGCGTTGCAGAGTACAGGTAGCCGTGCCTCGCCCCTTCCAGTCATTTGACTAGATCAGGGGTGGCCAAGCTGCGGCTCTTCGCGTGTTAAAGTATGGCTTGCGGATCCCTCCCCCAACCCCCCCTCCCGGGCACCCGAGCACTTCCCCAAAAAGAGAAATGGAACGCGTTTTAAATTGAAAGACTGGTTGCGGTTTGGTAGTCTTGTGCTACTGCTACCTACGTACTGTTCGACTGCTTTTGACTCGAATAGATTGAAAGTAGTTCAGAGTTTCGTTGATTGCTCTGAACAAAAGCTTGCACCTCCCCCCCCCCCCCCCCCCCGCGGCTCTTGGAAGTTTTGTGGTTTTATTTGCGGCTCTTCGATCGGGTCAGCCTGGCCACCCTTGGACTAGATCCTCACTCCTTGGTTGTCTTTGATTATGGGAGGGTGTGCTGCATTCATATCATTGTTTAACGTAGCCTTGGTGTTTCTTTCCCAGGGCTTCTGAGGGGAAGACGGTGCAGGTACCGTACCGCGGTGATGTCCAGGCGACCATTCTGGACGTGTTGGGCGGTCTCCGGTCGGCCTGCACTTACACAGGTGCTGGCCGCCTCAAGGAGTTGCCACGGAGAACCACCTTTATACGTGTGACACAGCAGCTGAACGAAGTTTTCCGCCAAGAAGCTTGAGTCGTGCCTTCTGCCCCATCCTTGCTTGAGGAACCTGGACCAGAGCTGCTGGTCCTCAACGTTACTGCTCCCATTTTGGTGGGGGGCAAACAAACCGATGCAACTAGGCCGACTTGAGAGCAATATGTTGCAGTTACAATTGGATGGATATTGCGTCTCTTGTGCATGCTAGGTGTGGAACTTTTCCTTGGTCAAACGAGGTAGGGAGGTGCCAGAACCTGCGGAAGGGACCTCAAGGAAGGGTTGGAGCAGCAGCTGACTTTTTACCCCTGGAACTGAGTCTCTTCATAAAAGGGCGGGTGTTAAGCGAGTTCATTTTGACGAAGTATTGTTAACTTGAGTTGATATGTAAAAAAAACGCCATGGACAAGGTCGTGGGCACATACAGTAAAATAGAAAACTAGGAAGGCGAAAAGGTTGCTCTTGTCGACTGCTGTTGCGAAGCCTTCCCTGGAGTCTCTTCTCGAGCCATCTCTCATGGTATGGTGGTGGTGCTTGGATTTGGTTGCATTACCCAAGGCTCTGGAGCAAATTTAATGATTGTAGCTTAAAATGTAGTGGAAGTATGCTCCCTCCTGATAGTTCGTGTGTAACAAAGTTGTATTAATGGAAAACGAAGGCTGTTAAGGTGGAGGTGGTCCACCATTTTGTTTTTCTTAATGAGCTGGTGAACCGGATGTTCCTGGTCACAGATTGCTGCTAACCGGCTCTAGCAGGTCGATCTCCCACACTGCACAGTGGCACTGCTACTGTGTTCTTGCCAACCTTTCACGCATGTTTCTGTCGACAACGTAAAATTTCAAATAATTTCCTGTTGTGGGCGCATTGAGGTGCTGTCGAGGATAGGCGAGCAGAGTGCATCTTCTGGAAAGTTGGCTTGGTGTGCGACACTCCTACTTGTTTTATGGTGGTCTCGATGAGTAGGCCTTTGTATTGTCTGTTCAGTGTGTGTGGTGCACTGGCCTTTTCCTTGAGAACATCCCATTCGTCTCTTAAGCTGAGAGACAAAGGTTAGCACTTGTTTCCCTCTAAAAGTATGTGGAATTTAAAAAAAAAATGGACAATTTTTTTTTAGCAGTTTTAACTGAGCCCTTATGCCCCCTGCTATTTATTGATACCAAAGTTTTTGCTTTGTTCATTTAATTTTGGGTCTAAGAGCCTGGCAGTATTACTATTACGAGCTGGGTTACATATAGTATGTCTTTCACTATTAGCACCTTTTGTGCAAGTAAGTTTGGTTTGTTGTACAACTTGCGATGTCGCGTTGCTGCTGTCGGCACTGCACCTGCGCAACCGCTTCCCACGAAGCTGTGCACTGCCCATGGCAAATGCCAACTTGTTTGTAAGCAGCGTGTTGGTCCTTGGGCAAAATTTTGGCACTTTTTTTTACATATCTGAAAACGAGATGGTGATAAACTAGTCAGATTAATGATAGTGTACTTACCTGTTTTTTTTGTTTTTTTTTTCAAATCCTTGTCGGCTAGTCATTTTATATTCCACCATTGAGAATGTTCAATTTGTTGGCTATGATGTGCCACAATTTTATTTCACAGATCTGATCTTCCCAAAGTTGTCGTCTATAGTTGCTTATGTTGCATGTTGTAAGCAGCTAGTAATGAAATAAATAGTTTACATTTAAAACTCCAGGCAGAAATTGCAAAAAAAAACGAGCTCATTTTTGTTTTTGGGGGGAGGGGTAAATCATAAAAAAAAATGCGCTGTGGGTCACTGGGTTACACTTGCACTGGTGCACAGCTTGGGTCAGGGAAGAAAGTCGTGTTTTATTTTGCACGGTCTTGAGATTTATGATGGAAGGACGAGGTCACCTGAATAAAAAATGGCAAGGAAGAAAAAAATTTCCTATCAAATCAAATAGTTTATTTTTCCCATTCAACGAAAAATGGGGGGGGGGGGGGGGAGGCCAAAGAAAAAAAAAAGCTGATAAATCAGCTTGACATGGTCCTCGGCCACCCTACAGAGGCAGTGAAGTTTGTAGGCCTAGAAAAACCGCCGACTGACGCCTGTTCGCACTAATCAACCATTTTAAAAAAGCGCGGTGTCTACTAGAGTGCCGTTCGACGGCGCTCTTGCAGCTGCGGAGCATACGTGCAGTCCGACGGCATTTCACATCCGCATTCGAGTGCTGTCAGACGGTGCTCCTACCGAGCAAATGGCGCCCTTGAGTGAAGAACGTCTTGCTTTTGGCACTTTGCAGCCGAAATTAGTGTGCCTACTTTCGCTGTATTTTTTTTGTGTGTTAAATTTTTTAATTATGAGTATAACTAGGTTCATAAAACTTTCTTCATAACAATATTTGAAAACCAAATAATGACATCCCTGCATGGCTAGTAGTCTCACGAAAATTTAGTTTCAATGCGAGCCTTAAGAAAATATTGAGATTTTTTTGTATGTTTTATTCAAAATATTTTGTAGAGGTTGCCGCCACTCGAGAACATAAGATTTAAACTCAAAAATCGCAACCTCAGAGAGAGTGTCACTTCGGCAAATTGCGTGCCTGCACAGTGCAGGCATGAACATACATAAGCATGCTGCTCGCTCCTGTAGCGTTTGTCTCGCTGGCGCTTTATGTTAAAGGGACACTTGAACGAGATTTGAAATATACCCGTCGTGTTCTGAAATGGGCTGAATATGATCCACAATATCGGTAAATGGCAATCACACGTTTGTATTTTGAGCCTGGTGGCGGTATTTTTCATTATAAACGGCCCACTTCTGGCGCAAACAATCGGAGAACAGCCAGTGGAAATCACATCACATACGGCGCAATCGTGACTTACACTGTCATTGTCTCGGGACGAGCAAAACTGTGGCGAGGCTGGCGTCGGGATGCCCTAGCCGTTCCACCCACCGAAGCACGCCAGCGATTAGGCCACCGCAACTAACCCCAAAGCTGCTTTCGTGCGAATTTTGAGAGACTGGTTAGTCTTCTATAATCTTGTAGAGGGACAATAGCGACCTCTGGGACACACGAGGGTCCAGGTGAGAGGGGAGTTCCTCCTTCAGCTCTTCTCTCGTGGTGGCCGGAGAGCTGTCGGGATGACTTCAGGTTCGAAGCATTTATAGTTCTAGTCAAAACAATCATCGTCGCTACCCGTCAAGGTTCCTAGACGGGCATTACAAACGCGGCTTTAGCGACATCCACCAAGTGCCCTTTGCTAATAGTTCATTCAACACTTATAGACCGAAAAATAACCGCCGAAATTTGGTTATAGTATCCTTAAAACGTTGGCGAGCGGCTGATGGAACACGTCACAATAAGCGTGACTTGTGCTTAGAAGGGTAAAATCTGAATTTAAAATATACAGAAAACATTGTCTAATAGGGTCAGCTAAACCTGTACTTGATACTCACATGGTTGTATTTTAAGCAGATGACTATATTTTTCATTCTAAATGACTGGATTTTGGCAGGCGCTTCGAAATAGGCCAACAAAAAGAGAGTGATGAATCTCGGGAGATCCTTGACGTCATGCCATGAAGGGCCAAGCCGGGCCAAGCGCATAACCTCCGAGATTCCGAAGCGCGCAATCTATATGTTAAGGACACAAATGTGCACTGAAGAGCTGTGCTGTCAGAAATCTTCAAAATGGGTGCTAGCCCGCACGACCTTGATGCACTTAATGTCATCGTCATACATGATTCAACTTCACAGTGTTTTCACCTTCCCAAATATTGCAGAAGCAAGCTCCATGGGAAGGCATTCGCGCACCTCAAGTGTCGATCAAAGCTGCGAGGGGCCCTCTTCGCTTCAGAAATCCCACAGAAAGTTGACGCCAAGAATAGATGTTTGGTCGATAGCTGTGCGGGTACAGCGTGCAGACATTGCCTGCTTTGCTTTAGCTCACTTCTCTTCACCAACTTTCTTGCGCGACAGATTTTTCATGTACCGGGGTCCCTCGAAAGAAAGCCAACCAAGAGAAACCTAGGTAATCAATACTTGGACACAGCAGTCTTCGAACTAATGAGGGATTTTTTTGTAGTAGCGCATGTTTTAAACAAGAACAGGAATGTTGATGAACATGCGGCGGTCCTTATGTTTCAGTTTAGGAAGCTCCATATCTGTAGCGACGTGCGGACTGGCACGCAGGACCAAATAGTTTTCCCACGGCCGTCGCCAATAGTGGCAGGTGCCACTATTGCAGAGCTGATCAATTCGCGAAGCACAAGGACTCGGTCGTGCACGCTGCAACAAAGAAGCATGTTTCGGCCGATTGCACCTTTCTCCTCTGGCAGGCAGACAACTCTACGAGTTCAACGAAAGTCTGACCAGTCACGCACTGCTGAAGAGTCCCTTGCCATGTTCGTATGCGCTCACTCTGCAATTTTGGCTTCGGGTCACCTGGGTAACTGTGGCGTGACAGATTTCTAGTCGAAACAAAAGGAAAGATTCCTTTCAGATGACATTGATATGACCTATACTGTTATTATATTTTTGGGCAAGAACTAGAGCAAATCAAAAATGTTTAAAAAGTCATTTTGTGCGTTTTTTATTTAGCGGTTTTCGGGATTTCAACTGCAAGTTTTCAATTTTTGAGTTGGCAGCACTGCATGCGAGACCGGATGGGCGATTGATATAACGAAAGCAAGGATGCAGGCAAGCTGGTTCAATACTGAGATTGGAGTTTTTTTGCCTGTCCTACGTCCCTTCTTTTCTCCGGCTCCAGGGTTACAATGTCACGATTGATGCAGAGTACTTTGTGTTGGGTGGCCGCTTGCACCACCTAGCTCACGCATACTCAGTTACGGTACTCAGTTTAGTTTCGGTTTTGAAAGGCGACCAAAACTGGTCCTTTGGCGCAGATTACCCATATTTTGGCGAAATGTAGCAGGGTTAGCCCCTTGGCGCAATTGGCCCAGCAATCACATCACTGCCATTGGGACAGGGATGGAAGTAACATAGACTCGGCAGATGCAGCACAAGAACAGGGCAAGTAGTACATAATGTGTCCATCTCAAAAATTTGTTTTTCAGGGCAAAAATAAAGTATGGATCGCGAAATGCTCATTTAACGCCCAAAAGTTCCATAATTAAGATCTCATTTAAAAGCTACAAGCGATTTTATGAAGATCTCTATAGGAAAATAGGACCCATTATAGTTTGTTTTCAGTAACTGGCACCCCCATTCAGCTCCATGTATTCGAGAACTTTATCGACGGCTACGTTCCCATACTAATTTTTTAAAATTTGCTCAATGTTTTCAATAAGATAAAGGTTAGTTCCAAAACTTTTGAATCTGGTTCAGACTGCCAAGTTTACATTTGGGTGGAGAATCAGCGTTCAGTGATGCATAGTTTACTTTCATGGTAAAAATGTGATTTTTTTAAAGGGGACACACTGTAGCTAGGAGCTCTCTGGCTGAAGCAGAGCATGCACTCTACCCAAAACAAAGGAAATGGCCACCACAATCTAATCCATACCTGTGTGCTGCAGTATGCACATCCACTTTGCAGTTAGTTTCACGGCTACGAAACTGCCACGAGGTTCCAGCATGGCACAGATTATCAAAACAAGAACTTTCTAGAAAGCTACTCTGCCAATGGCACATTTACTTTAGCTAAGATCTGCAATGGCTGAAAGACAACAATATAACACTGGAAGCTCAAACTCTCGAGCTTTATTTGTGAGGAACACCAGTAGAGAAGTCTGACGACACATTTATCTTTTGCAGAATTTATTTTAGACAAAGAATAAGAAAAAAAAATCAAAATGAAGATACATACAAATGCCTTACACAATGCAAAAATTATTACAAAGATGACAGTGCAGATACCTTTAAATGCATTATAAAAAAAGTTGTCCCCGAATATAGCAAGGTTCAAGTCGGGAGCACAAACCACTGCAGTGCACTCAAAAATTGGTTCCCGACCGAGTTAATTGCTGAAATGGTTTATCGCATATCTGATGCAATTCTGAAAAAAAGCCTTCGAAGCACAGCTTTCACTTAAACGGCTTTTTGCCACTGTGTTCGATTATGGCTGATCAGATGGCCTTTCTGGGAAAAGGCTTGGAGGCACAGCTTTCTTAAATGGCTTTTTACCGTGTGTTCCATTATGGATGATCAGACTGGACTTACGAGAAAAGGCTTGAGGGCACAGCTTACACTTAAATGGCATTTCACCACTGTGTGTTCGATTATGGCTGATCAGAATGGATTTCTGGGAAAAGGCTTGGGGCACAGCTTACACTTAAATGGCTTTTCACCACTGTGTTCGATTATGGCAGATCAGATTGGACTTGTCAGAAAAGGCTTGGGGGCACAGCTTACACTTAAATGGCTTTTCACCACTGTGTTCGATTATGGATGATCAGAGTGGCTTTCTGGGAAAAGGCTTGGGGGCACAGCTTACACTTAAATGGCTTTTCACCACTGTGTTCGATTATGGATGATCAGATTGCCTTTCTGGGAAAAGGCTTGGGGGCACAGCTTACACTTAAATGGCTTTTCGCCACTGTGTGTTCGATTATGGCAGATCAGATTGGACTTGTCAGAAAAGGCTTGGGGGCACAGCTTACACTTAAATGGCTTTTCACCACTGTGTTCGATTATGGATGATCAGAGTGGCTTTCTGGGAAAAGGCTTGGGGCACAGCTTACACTTAAATGGCTTTTCACCACTGTGTTCGATTATGGCAGATCAGATTGGACTTGTCAGAAAAGGCTTGGGGGCACAGCTTACACTTAAATGGCTTTTCACCACTGTGTTCGGTTATGGATGATCAGAGTGACTTTCTGGGAAAAGGCTTGGGGCACAGCTTACACTTAAATGGCTTTTCACCACTGTGTTCGATTATGGCAGATCAGATTGGACTTGTCAGAAAAGGCTTGGGGGCACAGCTTACACTTAAATGGCTTTTCACCACTGTGTGTTCGATTATGGATGATCAGATGGCCTTTCTGGGAAAAAGCTTGGGGGCACAGCTTACACTTAAATGGCTTTTCACCACTGTGTGTTCGATTATGGCAGATCAGAGTGGCTTTCTGGGAAAAGGCTTGGGGGCACAGCTTACACTTAAATGGCTTTTCACCACTGTGTGTTCGATTATGGATGATGAGAGTGGCTTTCTGGGAAAAGGCTTGGGGGCACAGCTTACACTTAAATGGCTTTTCACCACTGTGTGTTCGATTATGGATGATGAGAGTGGCTTTCTGGGAAAAGGCTTGGGGGCACAGCTTACACTTAAATGGCTTTTCACCACTGTGTGTTCGATTATGGATGATGAGAGTGGCTTTCTGGGAAAAGGCTTGGGGGCACAGCTTACACTTAAATGGCTTTTCACCACTGTGTTCGATTATGGATGATCAGAGTGGCTTTCTGGGAAAAAGCTTGGGGGCACAGCTTACACTTAAGTGGCTTTTCACCACTGTGTTCGATTATGGCAGATCAGATTGGACTTGTCAGAAAAGGCTTGGGGGCACAGCTTACACTTAAATGGCTTTTCACCACTGTGTGTTCGATTATGGATGATCAGAGTGGCTTTCCGGGAAAAGGCTTGGGGGCACAGCTTACACTTAAAGGGACAATGAAGGCAATTTCACACATCTTTTTGGCGATTGAACTGGGTTCCAGGCATGTCTCATGTCACGCTGCCCAAATTTCAGCCGAAACCGGCGCTTCTGTGCCGCGCAAATCAATTAAACAGTCGCGGTAATAATCGTACCGGGATCGACTGGAGCGACGCCCGGAGTTGCGGGAAAAGCCAGGAGAAGCGGAGCTCACGTGATCGATTCGGGGCCAAGCGCGACGTCACAAGAGACGCGTCAGCGATTGGTTGAAACGAGAAACGTGCCTTCGGTCACGTTTTGGTTCGCGATTTTTTAGGAATACTGTTCTAATTTCCACTTGAATAACCATGAAAAGTATAAATCGGACCGAAAATGATTGCTAAACCGTAAATAAAGCAGCATAATTGTTTTTTGCTTTGCTACGCTGGACGCGAAGCGGGCAACGAACTATGGGCAAACAAAATAAATAAAAAACAACACGGTACTGGAAGGATTCTGCAAAATGGTAGTCTTAGATGGCTGTTCCAACGGTCGACTGAAGACCAGTATTCGTTCGGGCGACGCTAGTTTTGTGTTCTTTGACGACGAAAAAAGGACATCCGCGGAGAAACCGGATCCCGGAACGGCCGGATCGCTGCCGCTTTCCCCTCCGCATCTCCCCCGCGTCCGTCCTTCGGCATGCCGGCCGCTGGTTGCCGGCTGGGCGGTCTCCGTCGGGTGGTGGCAGAGGCCGCCACACACGTACTCCCGTTCCGTTGGTGTTCGGTCACTGAACGGAAGCTCGAACTCGCTCGCGAAAGCGGCATTGCCGTCGATGTTGACAGATTCGGCGGAACGACCGCCCCACCGCGCTGCTATAACCCACCGCGGGAACCAGACTCTCGATCTTCTAAATGCTACCGATACCGACTATTCACACCTGACGTCACTCCCTACGTCACCTCCGTTTTCGGAGGCCCAGAAACGAGAACGGAGATTGTTGAGTTTCGGTTTCTTTACTTCTTTCGTAGGCACAAAAATATGCGTCACAAATGTCTACAAAAAATTGGGCAGCATGCTATGTTCCCAAGAGGCATAAAAACACCATTTAAAAAAATTAAATAAAATCGTCTTCGTTGTCCCTTTAAATGGCTTTTCATCACTGTGTGTTCGATTATGGATGATCAGAGTGGCTTTCTGTGAAAAGGCTTGGGGGCACAGCTTACACTTAAATGGCTTTTCACCAGTGTGTTCGATTATGGATGATCAGATTGCCTTTCTGGGAAAAGGCTTGGGGGCACAGCTTACACTTAAATGGCTTTTCACCACTCTGTGTTCGATTATGGCAGATCAGATTGGACTTGTCAGAAAAGGCTTGGGGGCACAGCTTAGACTTAAATGGCTTTTCACCACTGTGTTCGATTATGGATGATCAGAGTGGCTTTCTGGGAAAAGGCTTGGGGCACAGCTTACACTTAAATGGCTTTTCACCACTGTGTTCGATTATGGCAGATCAGATTGGACTTGTCAGAAAAGGCTTGGGGGCACAGCTTACACTTAAATGGCTTTTCACCACTGTGTTCAATTATGGATGATCAGAGTGGCTTTCTGGGAAAAGGCTTGGGGGCACAGCTTACACCTAAATGGCTTTTCACCACTGTGTTCGATTATGGATGATCAGATTGCCTTTCTGGGAAAAGGCTTGGGGGCACAGCTTACACTTAAATGGCTTTTCACCACTGTGTGTTCGATTATGGCAGATCAGATTGGACTTGTCAGAAAAGGCTTGGGGGCACAGCTTACACTTAAATGGCTTTTCACCACTGTGTGTTCGATTATGGATGATCAGAGTGGCTTTCTGGGAAAAGGCTTGGGGCACAGCTTACACTTAAATGGCTTTTCACCACTGTGTTCGATTATGGCAGATCAGATTGGACTTGTCAGAAAAGGCTTGGGGGCACAGCTTACACTTAAATGGCTTTTTACCACTGTGTTCGATTATGGATGATCAGAGTGGCTTTCTGGGAAAAGGCTTCGGGCACAGCTTACACTTAAATGGCTTTTCACCAGTGTTCGATTATGACAGATCAGATTGGACTTGTCAGAAAAGGCTTGGGGGCACAGCTTACACTTAAATGGCTTTTCACCACTGTGTGTTCGATTATGGATGATCAGAGTGGCTTTCTTGGAAAAGGCTTGAGGGCACAGCTTACACCTAAATGGCTTTTCACCACTGTGTTCGATTATGGCAGATCAGATTGGACTTGTCAGAAAAGGCTTGGGGGCAGAGCTTACACTTAAATGGCTTTTCACCACTGTGTTCGATTATGGATGATCAGAGTGGCTTTCCGGGAAAAGGCTTGGGGGCATAGCTTACTTAAATGGCTGTTCACCACTGTGTGTTAGATTATGGCTGATCAGATGGCCTTTCTGGGAAAAAGCTTGGGGGCACAGCTTACACTTAAATGGCTTTTCACCACTGTGTGTTCGATTATGGCTGATCAGATGGCCTTTCTGGGAAAAAGCTTGGGGGCACAGCTTACACTTAAATGGCTTTTCACCACTGTGTGTTCGATTATGGCTGATCAGATGGCCTTTCTGGGAAAAAGCTTGGGGGCACAGCTTACACTTAAATGGCTTTTCACCACTGTGTGTTCGATTATGGCGGATCAGATTGCACTTGTGAGAAAAGGCTTGGGGGCACAGCTTACACTTAAATGGCTTTTCACCACTGTGTGTTCGATTATGGCGGATCAGAGTGGCTTTCTGGGAAAAGGCTTGGGGGCACAGCTTACACTTAAATGGCTTTTCACCACTGTGTGTTCGATTATGGATGATCAGAGTGGCTTTCCGGGAAAAAGCTTGGGGGCACAGCTTACACTTAAATGGCTTTTCACCACTGTGTGTTCGATTATGGCAGATCAGATTGGACTTGTCAGAAAAGGCTTGGGGGCACAGCTTACACTTAAATGGCTTTTCACCACTGTGTGTTCGATTATGGCGGATCAGATTGCACTTGTGAGAAAAGGCTTGGGGGCACAGCTTACACTTAAATGGCTGTTCACCACTGTGTGTTAGATTATGGCTGATCAGATGGCCTTTCTGGGAAAAAGCTTGGGGGCACAGCTTACACTTAAATGGCTTTTCACCACTGTGTGTTCGATTATGGATGATCAAAGTGGCTTTCCGGGAAAAGGCTTGGGGGCACAGCTTACATTTAAATGGCTTTTCACCACTGTGTGTTCGATTATGGATGATCAGAGTGGCTTTCTGGGAAAAGGCTTGGGGGCACAGCTTACACTTAAATGGCTTTTCACCACTGTGTGTTCGATTATGGACGATCAGAGTGCCTTTCTGAGAAAAGGCTTGGAGGCACAGCTCGCATTTAAATGGCTTTTCACCACTGTGTGTTCGATTATGACGGATCAGATGGGAATAACTAAAAAAGGCTTCGGGGCAAAGTTTGCATTTGAAAAGCTTATCATTTTCGTGCTTTTGAGTGTTGCTGAGCACTCCGGACCCAGAGGGAGGGAGGGAGGCAGGGAGGGAGGAAGGATGCTGGTACTTGAACTGCTCATCACTATGGGCAACCAGATGGCTCACAATCCCACGCTGATCTCTGGTGACATAGATATCTTCGGCAGGTTTCAGTGAGCAGCTGGCTTCACCCAAAAGTGCAGCTCCCAATCCTACAAGGCCTCATGTGTATTAGAACACACTAGGAAAGCAATACAAAAATAGCAAAATGTTTTAGAAGTAAGCAGTCATTATTGTAGTTCTGCTTCAGCTGAGTGGTTTAATTTCTTTTTCCCTTTTATTTCAGGTCAAATAAGTAATGAAATAGAGTTGGCTCTGTTAACTGTTTTGGTAGCGTGAACCAGATAAACTACTTTAAGAACTTTTGTTTCATATATGCCGTTAGTGATAGCTTTGTATGGACATGCTCATGTTGCTCTGACTGCATGATGTTTCAATGTTACATGACACAACAGTGACTAGTGACATCAGTGTCATGTAACATCGATTTTCCCACAAAACTGCTGCAAAATTTGTCATGTGACCATTCCAATGGCTGCAAAGTATGACCTAAATTTAATTAAAAAACATGTCATTTGATTATGTAACATCACGGCATCATGCTAGTTTCAGCGGGTAATTGGTGACATGACACCACGACTTGAAACCGAGACATTGATTTACCTGCCAAATTTAGCATAAAAATTTATGGGATGTATTATGTCGTGTGACCTCGGATAACAATATATCAGTGTCATGTGACACGACTTGGCACTGTGAAGTCAATTTTTTTGGAAGATTTGATATCATGTGACACCATGACACCACTGTGCCAATAGACCCTTTTACAAATTCAGCGCCATCTACCGGAACGGTTGCAAACCTTCGCAGGTGGGCGTGGCGCGGCGTGCGTCCGACATAAGCATGCATGGTCGCATCGGCGCTTGCTCAATGCGCTACACCACCGACACCACTGCGGCCACAGAAGGTGTTGCGCGGCTAATACTTCGCCACACGCCGCTTCTGCGATGCCTTTTCATTGCTGTGTGCCGCTGTGTAAGCAAAAAGGACTCAAGGATGCCTCTGGCTCGTGGTTGGGCGGTGCACGCACGCGACCGCTGTGACAATCGAAACGGAAGAGATCCCGCCAGATTAGTAGCATGGAATGATATAAGCCGTCTCGTGCTGCTTCTCAAGCGCTAGCGTGACGGAACGGAGCATGCACCTGCACCCTTTTCTTTTTGTAAACAGAAGCGATGTTGCTGGGCTTGGGGTATCGAGATAACGTTAACATTCAGCCATTTCGCGTGACCTCTCGCGAATTTGAATACTTTTTTCTTTACGGGCATCTTTGTTCGCCATCCCATCCGACCCCGCTCTCCGAAAGAAATGGGTTGTTGCGATAAAACGTGACAAAGGCAAGCACTTCTCCTTTACGAAGTACACTAAGATTTGCTCGGGACACTTTCGAGAGGTTGACTACATTTCGAACGTCGCTAGTAAACGTCGCTACCTCAGACAGGAAGCAGTGCCGAGCATCTTCGCTTTCAACGTCGCGAAAAGGCCGCCCAGAAAGAAACCACGAGCACGACAGGCGCCGCCGTCAACGCCGAAGTTTTCCGCCACTGATGACGGAGTGACGAATGACGCAATCGCCGATCCGAGCAGTCAAGACGCGGTAAGTGAACCCGCTAGTGAAGAGGCAAGCTACGCATTCGCCGATCTGACCGGTGGACACGCGGCACCTGGGGCGTCGAGCCAGAAGAATGCAAGCGGCGAAATCGTCACTGTCAACGCTATGGAAAACTTCACCGCTGACTTCATGTGCCACGCAGTCGCAACTGAAGACAGCGTAGTGAACGATTGTAACATCGACGACTGTGCTGCCACAGGCGCAGTCCTCGACCGGGCTGAAAGTCTGAAATGGGCGACAAACGTCTGGTCCATGAGACTGTTAGACTGCCAGCAGCAGCAGAACTCATATACTCGCCATGCCGTACATGCTCATGGCGGCGTTGGCGGCGTCTCCCTCGTACAATGTGGCTAGCCGCACTTTTGAGCAGTGTCAAGATGACGGTGATGATAGCTATTGAAGTGGCCAGACTGAATTTCGGAAAAGGGCTATTGCTGGGAAATGAACAAACAATATCCTCTTTACTTCCTGAAACTGTTTAATGATATCTAAACAAATCTAAATGATCAGTCCTTAAATACTACATTCCATGCATTATGGGACTTTGGAGATAAACATTGCTGCCAACTGCTCAACTAAGCATATGTACTTATTGTCAGCATTGTTTACGTGTTGAATATGAAAAATCTGTTTCAATATATTTGCTAACATAATCATCTCCACATAACCCAAGAACATTAAATAGAAAAGAAACTGAATTTCCTTGACTGACTGATATCTAGGAAAGTTAATTTTAGGTAAAAACACCAAAACACCCTCTGGTTTCACCAGAAAATAACTATGAAAAGCAGAATCCCACTTAGGTCCCACATTTAGTGCCAACGGGTAAAAATAAACTTTATGATACTCAAAGCCCTTCCATGTCATTGTTGGGTGCACATGGTGATGCCGTTAAGTGCCACTCATGGGTAACATGGCACACTTGCCCCACCTTAAGCACAATGCAGGCAAATAAACTTGCAACCATTTCGGCCCACTTCACCTCAAGAGGTGGCCAGCTCTTTCTTTAAAGGGGGGGTGCAATGATTTCCGGACTTCGGTCAAAGATTTCTGGAAGTTGCCCTCTGACACTTCTGAAGTAAAGAACAGAAAACCGATTTCGTCTGCGTGTCCTAGTTGCTGCGTAAAAAAAACAAATATTGGCATTTCAGGCACCCCTCAACTCACTTCCAGCCTTCAGGGTCACACCTGGTCCCCCTCCTTGAGACGTCATTCGGAGTGCCGTGTAGCTTTTCGTGTGCTATCTCGAAGGACGCTTCCTCTCCCTTTCTCTGCTGACATTAGCGGGCGTTATGCTGCAGCTTAGAGCCGAGCGAGGTCACATAATCTTTTCGCCGCAGTTCCTTCGGCTGCCACTTGGGGCTGCAGGTGGGGGAAAAAAGCTAGACTTTTCCTTTGCGATTAAGCAGCGGAATCGCAACATTTTTAATGAAGGAGGTGTTTTCTTTACCCTCTGGGACACGATAAACAACGTAAGAATGACGAGATGCAAACTCTTTTAATCATAGAATCGTTGCACCGCCCCTTGAAAGGACAAAAGCCCAAAGGAAAGACATTTTTTAAAACAGCCTGGACAGGAAAAGAATGCCATAAAATAAATTTACAAGTAAAAAAAATTAAAACAAATTTACAGCGCAAAACAATATTTTTTGTGGTGCCAATGGCAGCCACCACTGGTCACGCAGTAGACCTTGCGCCGCCGCAAGTTGCGCCGGAGCCATTCAGCACTGCCGCTGAAATGCCCAGAACCCCCATGCCGCCGCCGCAAGCTAAAGGTCCTGTCACACTGAGGCAATAGTTGGACAACTCTACCCGGCAACACAAAGAAACGTTGCCAGTGACAGTCACATCACGGCAACAAGAATCAGGCAACATGTTGCTGGCGCCCAGCAAGTGTTGGCTGATGTGTTGTTCGACCACCGTTAGTCACACCGCGCTGACGACGGTACAAGGGGAACACTGCCATCTTGATTGTTTATCTTCATTCGTGTGCGGCACGGCTGCGCTGGAAATGTGCACTCTACAAAGTGCTAGTGCGTACAAAGGACCGCAAATTACCACGGGACATCAACCAGCGACTGTGATTAAAAAGCTTGACACAGGGAGTATTTTCTGCCTTTTTTTTATCAAAATGTTCTTCATTCGCTGACTAAGCAGATAGCCCTAACCGAGGAAAGTGAGGTCGCTGATAAATGTCCAGGATTTACGCCACCGTGTGAAGTGTTTCTGTCCAGTTCTTTCTTTCATGCAATTCCTATTTCTGCTGTAAAATTGAGTTAGCACCGGCAGTACCCCAAAGCGTCTTTTATAGTGTGGTGTTGAGCTAAACTGACAGTGCTTAAAAACTGCGACACCGAGACGATCGGCCTTCTTAACAATCGGTGGAATATTTTCAACGCCGTGTATTTGCCTACCGCCTGCTATGTGATCACTTCCTTCCCCAAAACGTTCTGAGGATTTTTAAAACCATTCAGGTGCCTGGTATCGGCTATTTCCAAGTATCAAGAATCATGATCAGAGTGGTCGTTTTAATGTAATTTTTTAATCTTTGCTTTCCTGGATTATTTTTATTACTTGATCAGCGGGTGAGTAGGCATGCCCTTTTATTTCACTAGCAGTAACATGAGCTGGTCTCTGGGCAGTTCTAATTTCAACAGCAGTCTGAACGTTCACGACCGTAGCTGTGACCATTTCGACAACCGCTTTCCGTAATTATGTAGTAAAAAACATTCATCAAGACTTTATTTGAATAAGATGATATTGATAGGGAATTAGCCCTGCGATCGACGCTATCTGCATTGTCCTGTTGTCGCTCAGCTAGCGATCAGAGTAACACGTTGTTCAACACAAGTTGCCGCTGTTTTTGTTGCCGAAAGCTGTCACACAAGGCAACATTTTTGTTGCCGTCCATGTTGTGCTGGTGTTGCTGCAATGCGACAGGGTTTTTGTACAACACGAGGAGCGAGCAACAAGTTGCTTGACGGTTGGACATGCGTTGCTGTAGCCGTCATGTTGCCTGAGTGTGAGAGGGCATTAAGCATGGCGCGCAGCCAGTTGAACGCGTTTCTCCATGCCGCCGGCGGCAATTTTTGACCAGAGCACAGGTCTATCACGTGGTGCTTTTGCCCTTTCGGGAGCTTCCTATGGGCTGTAAAAGTTACTTATTAATCTTAGTTTTTTATTCACTTCAGAAGAAAATTAATAAGTAACCTTTAGAGACCATAGGAAGCTCCCGAAAGAGTGCAAGTACCACGTGATTATAGCGGCCAGTCACGTGACCATAGCAGCCACTTTTCCGCAGGTTCCACTAAAATTTGTTTTTGCACCGTAAATGTAGCCCTACATTTTTTTTTTCGGTGTAAGTTTTGTTTTATGACATTTTTCAATTTAGGCTGTTTAAAGGGACCATGAAACGATTTTGAAATCAAATTTCATCCACCGCTCATCGTAAAAGGTGTGAAAAGAAACACAAAAACAAAAATAGGGAGCAAAAAAAATGTCTTCGTAATAGACCTTTTAAAAGAAAACCAGACTCTTTTGCGCCTTCTTTCCTTCGAAAGCTGCCTTTTCACTGCGACGTATCCGCGGAACCGCAGCACATCAGCCGAATCCACGTCGCCTATTGGGTAAGAACCTATATCACCAGCACCACGATCATAAACAATAACCTGCGAATGTTTCTTAAAAGTTTTGTTAAAGAATATTCAGATCCACATTTTGTAGCATAATTAGAGATGAGACGAAAATTGCCAAATTTGATAATGCTCAGAGCCAAGCGCCACTTATCATGTGGTAAACGAAGCAAGAGAAAGACCCTACTGCGCTTGCGCAGTCAACCGACGAGCATCGTCTGCTGAACGGGTATGCTCCTGGCCGTGTCTTCTTCGCAGCAGACTTTCGTTTTCTGGCTGTTCAAGTAGTGTTTTCATTGTCTGTGATCGATCGCTCGTTGGCAATGCCGAAAGGCTGCAGTGTAACGAAGTGCCCGAATCACAGTTTCTGCAGTCCGGTGGTTAAAAAGAAACAGTTGCAGTTTCATCAACTGCCACTCTATGAACCACGTCGAAGCACTTGGTGCAGGCTCATTGGTTCGAGGGACTCCGGGTCAACGGTCATTCGTGTATGCTCAGAACATTTCAACACGGAGCGTGAATACAACCACATTCACAGTGTTCTCCGCGAGTGCGGCCGTTGTTTTGAATTGAGCCTCGGCAGCGCACTCCTGGCAGCAGAAACTCTCGAGCGATAGGCGCTACTATGCACCACTTACAAGTGCACCTTCAAAGAAACAAAACATTTTATATCTCTGTTACTTCTGCTCATCTAAATATACGGCCGAAACGTAACCTCCATACTTTCCATACTTTGAAGCCGCCTCATTCCTCATCGTCCGATTCCGATGATGAACTGGGGGGTCTTCGCCGGAAGACTCGCCGCACTTCCCAGCAGGCATACCGCTGTATGGGACTAGTCCCATGCTGTCGCTGTGGCGCAACATATCTAATTGAATTTCGCTCAGCTACAATGTGTCCATGGCTATCGCGGCGATGAGACGCCGATTCAGAAAATACGTCAATGACATCAGCGCAGTAAAACCTGCCAGCGCACCCCCAACTCGCCGCCGCTAACGCTCCCATTCTCCTACTGCCGAGAGAACTTCCGGTTCCTGTGCCAGAGTATGTCACGACCGTCAAAATTACGCCACAACTTGTTTTGCAGTCAGTTGGTGAGAAAAAAAAAGTCGACATTTCATTAACTTTTTTTTGTGTAGAAGTTAATAAACCGAGACGAAAACGGATGCCGGTTCGGCATTCAGTGAACACTGAAGGTTTAATGTAAAAGTTATCTGGCAAAAGTAAAAAGGTCATTTCATGGTCCCTTTAAAAAAGGTTTTTTTTTTCCTTTGCGTGTGTCCTATAAACTTCAGTCCTAGTGCTTGCTTCCCTCCCCTCGAAGCATAATCCATATCACTATGCAGATTTTCATCTGAGCTTGAAGTTCCACTGATATGACACAGCCCTGGCGGAGGATCTCCGAATCCACACGGACCCATAGGAATCTGCGGACAGCTGTACAAGAAGCACTGGACTATCTCCACCTGTAGTCCAGACACTACCACAGTTCTGTCTTTATGAACGAGGTTGATATGAAAAACTTACCACAACTTGAGGACTGGATCGGTTCCATACCAATGAAAGGCACCACTTGAGATGACTAGGACCAAATGCAATGAGCAATGACCGTAATTAAGAAAAAACAAAGAAAGTACACCCTCCAAGGACATCAAGTTAGGCAGACAACTATGAGGATAACACACAAGAGACACACCCCCATAATTTTGCCATTTTGAGATAACAATGAGAAATGGCTGAGAAACTGGCACGCTCTGTGCCTGGCAATGGGTGGTCACTTGCATATAGGTTTAAAGGTTTTCATTAGCTCAAACTTCCGTAAGGCCGAGAGCCTGAGGCGATCAAAAGGCTGAAGCCCATGCAGGACATGCTGATTGGCTCCTCGGCTATGCGTTAACAGGTGAAATGAGACAAGAGGAAAAGAAATATATACAGGGTTGAGATATCTACAAATGCAATGAAAGGTTAGGCGACTGGTGATTCCACACCAGATCTTTGAATTCGTCAACACTAGGGGCTTGGCGAGCAGCATCTGGCAACTGATTACTTAAGCCAGATGTTAATACAATCCCTTTTCTTGTTTCCTGCCAGATTGCCATTTCAGTAAAAGTTATATCAGTTAAAGGGGAGACTTCCAAAAGATAAAATCAGATAACTTTGCTGCCATGTTCCTCTTTCCAAAAAATGTTGAAGTGTTGCTTAATGCTCAGCATTACGGGCTTTCGCACACTGCAAAGTTTCAAAAATCCCCTCAAATAGGGTGGTTGGAAAAAAAATGGAATTCTTTTCGGGAACTATCTAATTGAAACACCCATGTAAATTTTTCGTTTAGCAAAAAAAATTGTATGAGGCAAAAAGAGTTTTCTTGGAGCAATATCGACAGAGCGAGATTCATTTTAAATTCTGCGCACAAAGTCCATGATGTCACGGAATGATCATACACCTTTTCCACCTCAAAAAGATGGTCATACACTCTCTCCACGTGATGTCCAGGACGACCCAGATCTCCTCCACGTGCCCGAAATGCAGAGAGAAAACAAGTGGAAAGGAGGTAGCTACCGACTAAATCGCATCTCGCTACGTCAATATTGCTATAAATTTTTTTTTTAACGTCAGATATTTCGACACATATGTCCCAACCAGATTGTTTAAAGAAAACTTTTTCCCTTTTCAGTGGCCCTTTAAAGGGGCCGTGCAACCATATCGTCTGGAATGTTTTTCCTTTTACACGAGCTTACTGGCACTAGTGGGACCGAATACACTCGCACGCAACGCCACTGACAGGCACGTAGCCGAGGGGGGGGGGGGGGGCCATGGGGCCCGGCCCCCTTGACATCTTTAGTTTTGCTGGGACCTCTACTCCCTCCTCTCCCTCATACACCATTGTGTCATGGGCGGACCCCCCCCCCCCCCCCCCAAAACAAAATCCTGGCTACGTGCCTGGCCACTGACCAATGAAGTTCTTTGTTGCGAAGTCATTTCAAGGACAAAAGTGAGCATTTTTTTTTCAATATCTCCTTCACAAAACTTGATGACGTAGCTGGGGTATAGCAGTATCCCCCAGCGATATTTGAATGCGGCTCATAAATTGGACTTGAGGATTGCGCGAGTACTCGATTTGGACTCGTGATAACCAATAGCTCGACAGTATTTGGGTAGTGGCTTCTGTCGAACCGCTGAAATGACGACAATAGCCGAACGATAACAATGTCTGGAAATCAGCACGTGTCAAGTGCTTTGCCAACCCCAGCGCATGACTATGATTAACACTGGTGGCATATATTTGCTCCAGATCACGCGGCCACTTGTTCCGGCTGCGTGAAGGGGTGAACGCTGCTCGTTCTTTAATTTTTCTATGACTTCTACTGCGTGTGGTGAGAAACAAATGACTGTTTCATAGGTCATTAACACCAGGGATTCGTTCTAAGGTGTATTTGCATAAAGTACAAAAATTGTCGCATCACCCCTTTAAATCAGTCGATCTTGGGAAGACTTAAAGGGATGCTGAACCGAAATCTGGATTCCCCAAAACACGCGGCAAAAGCGTGCAACGGGATGCTACAAACACCAAAACATCCCTCATACAGCAATATCTTAAACGGATGACCGTATTTTTTTTTAAAAAAAGAGGCGCATTTGGCAGGAATGTTGACGTCATGTTTCTCCGAGAAGGAGAGGGAACGGCCTCGCGTCTTCTCCGCCTCGTGGCTTTCAGGGAGCGAAGCAAAGAGAGGAGGAAACTAGGTACCTTGACGGTCACGCGCCTCGTCGGCCTGGTTCAATCTCGACTTCTTTTTCCAAAAATACGGCTGTCCATTTGAGATATCGCCTTACTAATAGTGTTGTAGGGATTGTAGCGTCCCGCCTACATCTCCAGCATTGTTTTTTTGAAATCCAAATTTCGGTTCACCATCCCTTTAAAGGGGTACGAACACAAAAATGATGTTCGGAAATGAGTCACGCATGACGGATAATAGCTGTAAATGATAATCGCACATTTGTATTTTGAATGAAGGGCTATTCTTTTCATTCCAAAAGGTGCACTCGAGCAAGCGCTCGAAGAGAAGCGAACAGAGGGCGCAATGCGTCAGGGGATATCCGACGCAAACAAAAACAGAAAGAAAAGATTCCCCGCATTCGTGACATAGCAAGGCTGGCATGGTTATGAGCTTTGCCGTTGGTGGAGTCGTCAGCGTTGTGGTGGTGTCAATAGCGTCAACGCGTTACAACTAGGGATGCCGCAAACCTTTTTCGAACCGAAGGTTTGATGATCGAATCACGCAGTTCGAAAGATTTCGAATTTTCCATATAGAGAAATTCGACGGAAGTCAAATTTTCGAACTTATTAAACTAAGAAGTTCGAAGCTTTTCAAACTTTCTATGCCAAGAAATTCAATAATTTTTCAACTTCTTAATCTAAAGAATTTGAAAATTGTCGAACTTTCAATTCCTGAAAAGTCAAAAGTTCGTCGAACTTCAGAAGACTGGCGGGCGGTTTCATTTGGATTGAAGCAGTGAGGTACACTCGTAATTTTTTTTGTCGGCAAATTTTGATACGGTGCCGCTTTCCTTGCGAAAGACAATGGCGTTTATTTCAATCATCTGGCATGCTTGGCTTTAAAGAAATAGATTCCAGAAGGAGCGAGGAAGGACGACAGGTTTTTGACGATTGTCGTTTGGGCCATATTTGAAGCGCGCTAGAGCCAAAGCTATTTATGGTAGAGATGTTAAACTTTTTAAGAAGGATCTATGTATAGCCTAGGTAAGTGTTGTCTTAAGATATGATTATTGTTGTTCAAGAAGAGTTTCGAAGAAATATCCAAACATGTGTCTACGGGCAATTATGCCCTGAACTTGGCAATTTTTTTTAGTCTAAATTGTTTGAGGTATCACATTTAAATTAACACTACGGACAGTACATATCATTACAATCTGCAGAATACAAAATAATGTCTTTATTGTTTTTGCACGTTGAGGAATGGATTAACTTATGGGGGAAGATTTCTAAAATTTTTCAAGTTCACCACACTATAAAAAAAAACATTTTTAATTTTTTTTTTATTTTTCTTTATTTCACGTTCCTGAGACATGTTTCTTTTAGCCTGTACACATTTCGGTAGGAGGAACTTGTTCCGTAATTCTGGGCTCTGAATAAGGAAGAATACAACACTTACGGCGGGTTCTTGATAGTTTTTTATCTCTCCAGCCTTTTATTTTTGCGTTTATTGTTATGTTTATTATTTTTTACCGCTGGCACAGTTATTTAGGTTGAAAAGACATAGCTCTGCACTTCCAAACCACCGAGCATGTGACAAGTAGTGCCTTTTGACGAGTTTCTAAAAATTACCATCTCTATGCGATCTTTTATGCAGTGAAGAGCGACAATAGCTGTACATATGCATAAATAATTTCAGATTAAAATAAGCTCGACCTCGACCATGCCTGTCCCCTTTTTTCTGTCTTCTTACACTTCTTTCAAATTTCATTCTCAGTCTCAGGATTTTGCATCATGTACAAACTAAACTTACTATATGCCAGTGTCTTTCGGGTGGCGTTCGATCGGATTACTACCAGCGTGCAAGGAGGTAGGGAGGCAGTTAGCCAGATCGCTTCAAGGTTTTTCTGAGCCTCAACCACCTGCCTGCCCCTGGCCGTTTCGAAACGGATGAGTATCGTTAAACAGTGTGTTCGTGTGATCACTACTTCGTGATGCACGTTAATGACTGGCGGTCACAATTACTGATCTATGGTCACATGTCACTGCACTGGCAAATATTCCAGCACATCCGGGACACTCGTCGTTTCATTTAATTGCCCGACCAACTTCGCACAGTCTAAATATCACACCCAAACTATTCTAAACCTGATTTCGTGAAAACCAGTGAGGCGTGAAAATGTTATCTGAAACTGAAACTGTGGCGGAACATGAAAACCGGACTTCGAACTTTGTGCACTTGGACTTGAATGGAATTCAAAACCTTAAAGGGGCACTGACACATCAAAATCATATTTTTTTTTATTATCCGAAACGATTGAAAACGATGCCGGGACATTACCCTCAAAATTTGAAATTTGGGAATTCAGTATTTGTGAAGTAAAAAAACAATTTCCAAATGTCGAATTCGAAGTTCCTGCGCGATCGGCGCCGGTGCCTTGACGTCAAAAATTGCGGAGACCTGAGAGTCCACTTTCTTTCACCACTCCCTGCTGTTGCCATGGCGACCCAAAGCGAGGAGGAAAGGAGTGAGCGGCGGCGTTGCGGCGGACCGGTTTTGAGATGTGTCGCCTGTTTTCCGTTGGAGGATAAAAATCCAGGAGACGGCACCACAACGAACTCCCGATTTTTGGAATTTCAAAAAGAAGGGCCGTAGTGCGTTTGCAATTGCGTTAAAAAACATGTTTTAGGATTGCCGTAATTAAATGTTATAGAGATGTCGCCTACAAAGCTTCTAAATTTCCTGATTTTTGACGTCACCGATCAAAAGAAGCGAGGAGGCGAGAGGCGGGAAAATCAAACGGCAAAAATAAAAAGGCACGCGCGCGCGCGGAAAATTTTTTTTTGCGATGCAGTTTTTTTTTGCGTGTCTATGACTGCAATTTGCATCGTTTTAGACAATAAAAATAAATACGACCTTTGAAGTTTTCAAACTTTATGTGGAAAGAAATTTGAAATCTTAGAATTTTTCGAACTTCATGTCTATAAGAATTCGGAACGTTCGAATTTCAGATCCAAAGAAATTTTAAACATTTGAGTCTCTCGAATTTCAAGTTAGGAAAGTTCGAAATCTTTGAATTTCTCGAAACTCAAGTAAAAAAATATTTGAAATAATTGAACCCAAACTTTTAGAAACCGTGAAAGCTTCGAACTTTTCGAATTCTAAACTCCACGATTTTTGAAAGTTGCGAATTTTTCGAATCTGAACCTCCGTATGGTCGAAAATATCAAAACCTTTCGAATTCGAACATCAGTTCAGTTCGAAAATATTGAAATCTTTTGAATTCGAACCCAGGGTGGCTCGCAGCATCCCTAGTCACAACCGAGCCGTTCGAAGTACCCATGGGGTGATGAGCATGTGGCTGTCCCAAGCAAGGCATAGCTTCCACAACACTGTCAGCTTAGGGCTGAACGAGGTGGGGAAAGCAACATTTGTTCGAGTTTTGAGCGATGGACTAAACTTCTAGGGGGAGAATGGCTGTATCCAGGTGCACAAACGAAGGTCCAAGAAAGAGGAGAGTCCCTTCTTTCCGTCTTCTTGGACTGTTTTGGTACAATGCGCGATTTGTGAGTTGACGAGGAAAGCTTAGAAGAAAAATGTTGGAATTCCAAAGAGCGGCGCTGCTCCGATGGAACTTGCAACGTCATGACTACGTAGCAAGTTCTCCAACGTTGCTAGATTACCTCCCAAATAGGCTCCACATGCATCCGCCACGTACACAAAGGTTGTTTAACAAGCTTTAAATTTAGTTTGCTTGTGCCTTTCAACGAAAGACTGGTATTTTTGAGATTATGCTGCAACATGCAACACATTAAAGCTAAAACATGAACACTGGGATTTTGTTTCCGTACCTCTTTAAAAGGGCACTAACAGGTAAAAATCTTTTTCTTTTTATCCAAAATGATTGAAAACGATGCCTGGGCATTACCCTCAAAATTCTCAACTAGGGAACTCAGTATTTGTGAAGTAAAACAAATTAAAGGTGTTTACAAATCTCTGTAATGAAAAATTGGAGTGCAGCTCTTGAGGAGGAGGGGGGAGAGTAAGGAGGGGAGGGGATGCCCCACCTCCTCTGTACCTTCTCCCCATGTCCTCCCCCTCCATACCCTCCCATCCTCCTCCTTCGTACCCTCCCCTCCTCTCAAACCCTCACCTCCTCCAACAGTTTCCCCACTTTTATCAACATCAGTACCTCTGTTTCTTGTTTGTGCCAAAATTTAGCCACTAAAGAGTTCCTCACTACACTGAACGACTCCCTTCCTGTTCAACGCTGGCGGGAGATTCTCGGCAATCGCAGCTTTTTCTTGCTAGTAAAACATGGGGCAAGTCTTACGAAAAGGATCCCTTTGAAATGAAAAAGCATGATTCAGAACTCCATCTTCAGCAATCACGTTTTCGTTCTTAATTCAACGGCGTGCACTGCAGGCCAAGACTGCTTTATTCAGACTAATGTGCGTTCATTAAACCAGATTACACCGGTGTTTGTAAGTAACGGTACTGCCACTTACGCTCGCAGAAGACAACGCCACACTTCCCGTTTCATATTTTCGTCGCGTCAACCCCTCGAATTTACTAGCATGTCGCGGCCCGAAATGTTTTAACATGAAAATGAGCGAGAAAACCATCAAGCTCGCTGTAGTCACTGACAGGGTGATAACGGCAGGAATGAGCTTCAATAGACCAGCCTTCCTACCTTTGACAATGCTTCTATGTCTCGTGCACCAAAGCCAGGTGGAAGGTATGGAGCATGATGGAAGACACGGAGCAAGTGCTGGAGGCCGGGTGTTCAAAAGACACATCCTACCGTTCTCATTCGACTATATAACGCAACCGCATGCCAGAATCTCCAAACCCGAGAAAGGCAAGTTACCAGCTTCTGGCGCTCCTGGACCCTCTTCTTGCGTTCCTCCTCCGCCTTGGCTGCCGCCCTCGTCTCGTCATCGAGTGGCCGGAGCTTTCGGAGGTTCTTGCGGCTCCTGCTGCCCGTCTCCTGGCTCTGGATTGCAAACATTGGCGTGTGGAGAGGCTCAACACTGGTCGCACAAACCGACCATAGAAAAATTGCAGCAACCCTATCAGCTGCGTTTGTTAATTTCATCGTCTCTGTGACAGGGAAGAACTGCCGTGCCTCTCAACATGCGGAAACACCATCAGAGACCGTGTCGTGTTTTAAAGGGGACTTTTTTTTGTTTTGAACAGTGTAGATAGTATGCTGATGGGTGAGACACGGGCATAGTGAGAGGTGACTCTAATGTGAGAAACTCCATTCCTGTTGTCCCATTTGAAACATAAAAATCCTTATAACATAAAGAGGTATCAGGAAAAGAAGGGAGGGGAAGGGAGGAGAGAGCGATGGGGAGACAAAGTGTAAGTGTAAGAGGTGTCACATGACTTGAGATGTTAGGTATTGTGAAGTTGGGTCACACAACGTCAGTTGCTTCGCTGAATTTAGCGAGGAAACTAAACTGGCGTACAAGGAACTTATGTCAGCTTATGAGACGTTGATTCACTGGCTACGTTTAACTGAAAACGCACGGACAGACACATTTCAGGGATTACGAGGTTCCGTTAAAAAGTACTATCGAGACCGGTTAGAATGAAATGGAGGCTGCAGTGAAGCGATCAGGATTTCCCATTCTCTTTTGCACTTCGTTATAACCGATGTCAGTTATAACGAAATAGCGTATATAGCGAAGTGATTTCCGATTCTCGTTGACTTCGCTATAACCGGTCTCGACAGTATCTCATGCTTTGAGACGCAATTCCTGCACAGGAGTCGTATCAAAGTTTAACAAAGCAAACGAGCTCTGGACAGGCCCTTAAGGACAGGTACGTCCGTTCCTCCCTTCCCACCTCTCGTTCTATCATAAGGAACGAAGGGAGCTCACCGAGTTGAGAATCTCGACACTGCTGTCGCTGTTCTTATCATCATCCGTGGAGGCGGCCACCTTGATGCGACGGCGTTTCATCTTGTTTGCCTTGCCGGAGTCGGGTGATGCAGATGCGTCCCTGCGACCGCGCTTGCCCTTCTTGGACAGCTTGAAGTCGGAGTTACTGGACTGTCCGCTCGATCCTTTCGAAGAAGACGCCTGCTTCTTTTTTTGCTTGCGAGCCGGCTGGATGTCCGATTCGCTCGAGCTGCTCAAGCAGAGGCTGCTGCTGGCAGTGAGCTCGGGCTTCTTGGAGTCGGCGTGTTTGTCTTCGTCTTTGCTCGACACCACTACCCGCTTGCTTTTAGGTTTTCTGCACGAAAAATGCAGCAAACGAGTCTTCGATGGTACCCTAGTTCCCGGACCATACAGGTTTAGAAGCCGATATCTTACGCGCTACAAACAACAGATCGTTTCAGAACAGAGCTGTAGGCCGCTTGCCATTTTTAAAATTCGTCACGTGCCTCCTTCAACTTCCAAAGCCACAAACGCACATGCCGAGCTGTGGATTTGTAGGGATGTGTTCTTTCCATGTCGTGCATTAGGGCAAGAGAAGTCATTCACTCTACTGTATTTCGTAACTGTAGTCCGCAGACTATACGTGTTTAAAAGTTGAAACTTTATGCGTTGAGGACTACAGACCATTCCAGAAAACAGGGGTTGCCCAGCCAGTTGAGATTAGAGAAAATTTTGGAGCAGAAAAAAAAAATCTCGTCTTGGAGCACCTCTGTAACTGAAAAGAATCATTTTGAAGTAGCATATGCATAAGCTTGAAGCAATTTGATAAGTTCCTTCTAAGTGGTACTGGCATGCATTCATGTAATCGCTACAGCATGATGCCCATTAAAAACCTGAAGTTAGTAGTTATACTGTACTATCCAAATTGCCCTTTGAGGCTGTGAAGCTGTGCTTTAAACTTAGTTAAATTTGTGCTTTGTTTCCATTAGTACTAGCGAACAAAACTCAGCAGGAGTCAGGTATAGCATGTTTACTATCAAAATATAGTCGATGTAGAGGACCTATTTAAACCTCTAGATAATAAGATATTGGCCCTACTCAAAGTTTTCTCAGGTGACACGAAAATCCACAATTTTTGGGCCTCATAACTCAAAAGACAAAATGTGTTGCGACAAAAATTTTACTTACGATGGCACTTCCTGACAACCTCTCGCTACGTGGACATTCAATGTCTGATTTGCTTCGCTTTTCCTCGGTCGTGATCACGATCAAGCCGCTTGAAAATCTCATTTACTGCACAGGATATCAACACAAATATTCTAGGTTCCCTAATGCACAGATGTTGTAACGAGTAGGACGATCAAGGATTATCATCATTTGACATAAAAAAAAAGGCAACAATTCGTAACAAGGAAGTCCCAATTGAGCATTCAAAAGAAACTGGGAATTATGTGAAAGCACAGTCTACAAATTAGTGTCACTTCTCCACACGTACACACAGGAAAAAAAAACACTTTTGCTAGTTATTCTTCGATAGTGCGTCTTGAAATGCCACTAAAACGGACTAAACTGCACTGCGTTAGGGCCTTCAGTAAATTTTTTTCAAAACAACGCCGCAGAACCGGAAACCTGGATTGGATTGTGATGGCAAAATCCCATTGGATTTCCACAGTTGCCAGATGAACACTCTTCCAAAAACGAATTCGTTCGCAGATAAATGCTTTGCTCATTAATGGACAAAGAGTGTGTTGGTGCGGGTCAGAGTGAAGAAAGAATGAACAAGTAAGATGAAGACAGACACATCTTTTGACTAGCAACAAATATATAGGAATTCCAAAAGCGAACAGCCAATTTATCGGTTGCTCGCTTGTGGGATTTCTATATGTCTGTTGCCAGTTGAAAGATTGTGTCGTCTTCGTCTTACTTGTTTATTCCTTCTTCAATCTCATCTGAGGCTTTGGCTTAGTTTGGCACAATTTTTCCTTCAGGGTGCAGCAAGGCGCAGGCAAGCAGGAATTTATCAAAATGGCGCATATGGCACAACTGGACCACCCTTGAGAAAAGTGTGCATGCCAGTGCTATTTTAAGCACTTGCGTGTATGGCACCTGTTTTGCTCAAATTCCAAAGCCACGAATGCGTGTGCTGTTTGCCATGGCAGCTGTCAGCATACCTCGGCAAACCTCACTCATGAGGGCCCTCACTCACCCTCACTCACCCTCATCTTCACAGGTGAGGTGAGGGTGAGTGAGTTTCTGAACCAGGAAAATTCATGAGTGTGAGGGTGAGTGAGGGTGAGTGAGGGCCGTGAGGGCGCTGAGGGCGGTGAGGTCGGTGAGGGCCATGAGGGCGGTGAGTGGTATGAGGGGCGTGAGGGCGGTGAGTGGCGTGAGGGCCATGAGTGCGTGAGTGGTGTGAGGGCGGTGAGTGCGTGAGGGGTGTGAGGGCCATGAGTGCGTGAGGGCAGTGAGTGGCGTGAGGGCCCTGAGGGCGGTGAGTGCATGAGGTGGGGTGTGGGGGCCACGAGTGCGTGAGGGCGGTGAGTATGTGAGGCCCCCTTCAGATCGAGCATCTTTCTCAGCAATTTTGGTGTTAATGGCGGGTTGTTCTCTAGCTTTCCCTAGATCGACACGAATTGCTGAGATCGGGTCCGGTTCGAAATAAGCAAGCAACTCGGAGCAATTCGAATACGTTTAAACCGGCTGCATCTAATCAGGGACGCAAAATTTTCACGTGATACCTCGTGCCGGTGATGATGACACCGAAAGACTTGGTTCTGGTTTGAAATCGATCGTTTTTTGGAATAAACTGTTTCAGAAAGGTGCATTAGTATTCTTAACGAGATTTAAATGCATAAAAACACGCTTATAACGCGTAATTGTGTCTAAATAGTGCAAGAAAAATAAAATTTTATGATGACGATGGCAAATTGCAGCAATTGGTTGCTGCGTGTGATCGCGGGCGGCCCGTGTTGCTGGTGTTGCGACGTAAAGTTTCTGGGCGAAATTGCCCCATCTGAAGCTGGCCCGAGTGGCGTGAGGGCTATCAGTGCGTGAGGGGCGTGAGGGGTGTGAGGGGTGTGAGGGCCGTGAGGGCGGTGAGTGGCGTGAGGGCGGCGAGTGGCGTGAGGGCCGTGAGGGCGGTGAGGGCCGTGAGGGCGGTGAGTGGCGTGAGGGCTATGAGTCCGTGAGGGCGGTGAGGGCCATGAGTGAGTGAGGGCTGTGAGGGCGGTGAGGGCCATGAGTGAGTGAGGGGCGTGAGGGCCGTGAGGGTGGTGAGGGGCGTGAGGGCGGTGAGGGGCGTGAGGGGCGTGAGGGCGGTGATGGGCGTGAGGGGCGTGAGGGCGGTGAGTGCGTGAGGGTCGTGAGGTTCAGTGAGGGTGAGTGAAGGGCTGAAGGTAAGTGTGACTGTGAGGGTGAGTGAGGGGCTGAAGGTAAGTGTGACTGTGAGGGTGAGTGAGGGGCTGAAGGTGAGTGTAGCTGTGAGGGTGAGGGTGAATGAGGGGTTTAGGTGAGTGTGGCTGTGAGGGTGAGTGAGGGCGACCTAAAATGCCGACCTCTGGCTGTCAGTGCTGAACGCGTCAATCCCCGAATGCCAAAAAGCTTGTCCAATAATCTGCTACAGAACACCTTGCAAGTCTAACGAGAATGCATTATTTTTCTACACTGACTTTTATTGGTCTTTCGCCAAATTCACCATAAGAGAGCAAGATGCTACGAAATAGGTGATGCACAGTACTCAATTAAACTACTAAATGGTTCAGCAAAGCACGTGGCCTCACTAGAGTAACTGCATATGCTCCAAGTTGTGTAATTTTTTGTATGTAGCCTGTGTAACATGCTGGAACCTCAAGTCGCAGGAGTGTAGCGTGTTACTTTGGTTCGAGACGCATGCCTGGCTTTCGTTAGGAGTCCCCCTTGTAGTGGCCGCCCGGCGGGGCTGCATGGCCGTGAACAGTTGGGGGAAAGGGGAGCGGTGGCTCGGCTTGGCCCCAATGCCACGGTCTGTTTATGTATGTGCATTGTGTCCTTGATGGCGCGTCCCATCCAGTGTTATCAACTGTCGGGGCTGTACTAGGAATCGGCAGAAGACCCTCCTCTCCACGCCTTCGGGCGAGGGAAGCAAAGGATGGAAAGAAGCAGTGTTGTGCCCGTTACCGAAAAAAAGTAACGAAATAGCGTTACTCGTTAGTTTGGTAAAAAGTAACGCGTTATCGAGCTACGTTACTCTTTTACAAACGTAACGATATACCGTTACCGTTACTTTTGAAAAATAACGAACGTTACTTTTACGTTACTTTTGTGTTCGAGTACATATGTCTGGCAGAAGTGTATGATAAGCCTCCTTAACAAGCTTGGATAAAGATAGAAATTTACGGAGTGGTTTCATAGTGTTTCGACGCGCGAAGTAGCTTAATTTTCGCCATGCAGAATAGGCATTGAAACTGTAATTTACCTGATTCTGTCTCCTTTAGTTGATACATCTCATTCAGACCTGCTGGCCATGGCGACGGAGTTTCGTTATTCGTGTTCATCTCACGTGCAGAATGAATCGGAGATGTTAGTCAATCGGCTTTTATAAACTACTGCATGCGAACGGGGACTGCTGGAACACAACCAGCCAACCAACACCCCTCATCTGTACGCCGGTTTTCGTAACAGTCCGGTTCATACTATTACCAGAGACTGATTTACTTCACTATCTGTTACAGGACACCGGTTACCAGCACACTGGCTATAATCACTTGCTGCCTCTTACCAGCAGTAGCTCTTAGTTTTTCTGTAAAAAAAAAAAAAAAAAAAGGTTTCCTGTTTGTAAGTTTTCTTTCCAGGTTTAAAACTTTTTTTTTATTTTTTATCATGACCTTAGGAAAATAAAGACTAATCAAGCGAAAGATTGGCTACGTTTACATGGATGCGACTGCAGCGCATCGGATCCAGTTAACGAATCGAATCGGTCCATGTAAACAACTCGGATCGGATCGGATCCGATCCGCTGGGACGGGGTGGTTTGAGATGGTCAATCCGAATCGAGACTCTCCATCATCCATGTATACGCTAGCGGATCGAATCGAGTGCTCGAGCGAGGGATTACGGGAGCTTTGCTTCGCCTGCCGCTAGGCAAACCGGTCACCTCGAAAACAATCTGAAGGTCACGAGGTTTGCGTTGTGATCCTTCGACACGAGGTGCCGCTGCTGGCCGATCCGAATCCATGTAAACTTAGTGGTTGAAGTGGATCCGATTCGCTAACTGGATCCGATGCGCTGCTGTCGTATCCATGTAAACGTAGCCACTGTCTACAAAAGTGGGTCAGGAACTTTCAGGCAGCGAGGGGGAGAGCGAGGTAAAAAAATTCCACAAAGGGTGTTCCTTTTTTTTTTTGAAACTAGAGAAATGAGCAAATCGCTTTGCCACCAGTTGTCCACTGTTGTAAACAGACGTCTCTCTACGGCCCCCCCCCCCCCCTTCCCGCTGTCCACCCCGGCTGCACAAAGCAGGGGGGGAAGAGGAGGGAGGGGAGGGGGCTGTAACGCAGTCGTTCGTTCAAGCCTTGTGGGTGGTGACACTATGTAAAAAAAAGAAAAAGGAGGATGAACGGAATAAGCTGGTAGCCGAAGATTTTTTTCGCCTTCAAAAAGTGAGTTTTTTTTTTTTTTTATTTTACTGTGACAGATGCTGGTTTCGTGCAGCGATAAGCTCGAGCAGGATTTTGAGATAAGCTCGTACAGGATGTCAACAGTTTTAGTTAAAAGTAACGAGTAACGAGTAACGAAATTTGACAGCCGATACCGTAAAAAAGTAACGGAAATACTTTACTCGTTAGTCATTCAGAATACTAACGAGTACGTTACTGCGTTAGCGAAAAATGTAACGCGTTACCAGTAACGTCGTTACTAGTAACGCGTTACCTCCAACACTGGAAAGAAGGGACCAAGAGGGGCGGGCATGGGTGGAAAGGGTAGGAGGGAGAGGAGGAAGCGGGCGAAAAGTGGAAAGCGCGAACTGGTCGTCGGTCTTTAACTACTTCTACGTGCATTTGTGGGGGTCGATAACTGGAATGTCTACAGAGTCGGCGGCGGAGGGCCGTTTTGGTTTCGTGGTGCCAACTCGACTTGTGATTTGACTTTGCTTGTCGGCATATGTGTAGCCGTCCTTCGGAGATGACAATATGTGTTAGAGGGAGAAAGTGAAAGAGAGGAAGAAATGGGGGTAGGTATGCTGAGAGTGTGAGAGTTGAGAAGGGGAGTCGACTAAAGGCGCGTTCACACTCTTGCAACCGAGTACGACCGAGAAAGACTTCTTGGGACCGGATGCACTGAGCGGAGCTGGTCCTAAGAGATCGCAAGAGGCTTAAAAACCGGTTTGGTCTCTCTCGGTCGCACTCGGTTGCAAGAGTGTGAACGGGCCTTAAGAGACTTGAGAGGAGACGCACCGAGAGCGATGCGAAGGAGTAGAGTGGAGAAAGTGCAGAGGGATTTTGTTTCGGGTAGACCCAAAACAAAATCCTGGCTACGTGCCTGCTATGAGGATTTGGGCTACGCTACTGCTTGAAGCTGTCAGTCACGGGTCCATATCACATGAGCGAATTACATTTTAGCGAACAGCGACATTTGAGCGAATGGTCGGTTTAGCGAATAACGGGGGCGCGCGTTAACCCATCCGCCGCGCTGCGCTTTAGGCCTCATTCACACAGCCGGCGCCTCTCCTATCCCGGCACCGTCACGGGAGCACGCCGGGGCGGGGACGTGACGGCAGGGTGTCCGAACAGGCCGCGCCAGCAAAGCGACGGAGGCCGCGACGGCATGATTGGATTGGATCGGATGGCTTATTTATTCAACTTAAATTAAAAAAATAAATATATAATTGCGCCTGAACATAAGTGCGGACGTTTTTTTTTTCGTAAATTAAGGATTTGCGTCTGCTATTAGCGATTCCCGCTGAAAAGGAACAACAAAAACAACACAACAAGCGTTGGCTCACTGTTGGCAACCGAACGATGAAAAATCTTCCAAACTTAGCGAAACTTTTCTGTTTTGTGATTGGTCGGTTTTTAATGGGGGCGGGACTCCGTCATCCGCCGGGACGCCGGGACGGCGGTGCCGTAGAGCAGCTCCCTACGTCGCCCGGCACCCGACGGGGCACAGCTTTCCGTCGAAAACCGGGCCGAAAATCCTCTCCCCTGACGGGAACGCCCCTCGTGACGGTGACGGGATGGGAGAAACGACGGCTGTGTGAATGAGGCCTTACGCCGCTTCGCGGCGACAGTCTGCGGCGGCTCATTACAAAAATGTGAACCCATTTGGCCCACCCGAAAACGCCGCTCCGCGGCGTCCGACTATTCGCTAAAGTGTCATTCGGTGAAACGTTGGCGTTCGCTAAACCGTCATTCGATCAAGTGTGTGCCTCCGTGCAGGGTCGACAACGGCAGCCTGTGTCTTCACTGCACTCCTCGAACGCGTTCAAAAGCGGAACGCAGCCGTCCGGCGTTTTGCTCTTGCATTCGATGAGTGGAATGGAGACAAAGGCAGCTAGCTAGCTTTAGGTATCCGAATCGGAGCTCGGCGTTTTGATGTCCCCACGCGCTCTCTCTCCTTCGCTACCGAAGTTCTCGGCGCATTCTAACGATTCAGTCATGAGGACAGTATACCTGTTTCTTGAATTCACTTGAATGGGTCGTGAAGGCTCGTACCGAAACCGGCGACACTCACTGCACCTTCTTCTCTGGACGCGCGCCGCAATGACCGACGGGGGTGGGGAAACGGCCCATAGAAGCCCACCGCAGCGCAGTGACCGGATTGTGTACTCGTCTGCTTGCGGGTACCGCGGATTTGCGACAGATGGCGCTGCGGTGAGAAGAAAAAAATCGGATTCGGATTTGCATGGAACTCTATGGGAGAGTGCCAAAAATAAACCGAGATCACGACAGTCCTCCATTGAAAATCCACGAAAACCATCTCCGTCAGTTTAGCCGGTCAATACCGGTCGCCCACCCGGAGTGAGAATTCGCGGTGCTCCACATAGATGGCGCCACAAGAAAAGAGAAACCCGAGGGGGACACAATTCGGTCGCTCATTTGGCTCTCGTTTCCCCACCTGTCTATCTTACACCCTGGCGCCGACGCTCTATTTGTCCACGTGACTGTGACGTCATTGGTTGTTACCGCTAGCGGCCAACACGTGGCGACGTGGCCGACACCTCTTTTTCTTTTTGTTTTGTTTTACAGCGGGTTCGGTTCACGGCACTCGTGCACACGTGCTCGTGCACACAGCTCGTGCCCACGCGTGGCATCGAGCGTGAGCCAAAATGGAATCCCGTCGTGCTTCGCTCCCACGAGGAGCGGGAGTTCGTTTCACGGCACTCGTGCCCACGCGTGCCCACTCGCAGCGTGGAACGGGTTCGTTTCGGCCGGCACTCCACGAGTGGTTGCACTCTCCGAGTTCGTTTCAGCGCTGACACCCCACGCGTGCATGCACTCGCTGCACCGAGAAAATCGGGAGTGCGCCAAAATGCAATCCCGTCATGGCTCGCTCCGGTGGGGCCGGCGAGGAGCGGGAGCAGACGACGAGGGTTCGTCTGCTACGATGTGTCGCGGAACCGAACGGGAAAAAAAGTAGATTTTCTGATAAAAATCGGGTCCCGCCGGCCACGAAATCAAACGCGAGCTTGAATTGTGAGCGTCTGCTATTTCCCGAAGAAAGCAATTGACAACCCGTGATTTATTTGCAGGTTTTAAATCGCTCTGTTGCTGTACAAACGCTGAAATATACGAGTGTGTAAAGAAATGCTCAAAACAAACGTAACAGCGGCCCCCGAGATGTCTATCACCCGTGTGCGGGTGAAAAATTTAACATTTGTCGACAAAACTCCCCCAGCAGAAACCTCTGACTACCCAATAAGCATCAGAGGAAGCTAAAGATGGTAACTTTACTCGAGGATTGGGCAACATCATCATGTTTAACATTTACCTACGTCAGATAACTTGCCCCGTCGTATTTTGTTCGAGAAAGCTCTCGTTCTCGACGTCCTCACCAAGGCTAATATCTGATCCACCTATAATGACGATCCAAATCGAAAGTCCCAGTTTTGCTGGATATTCCAACAGGCTAGTTTTAAGCCCTACCCTTTCAGTGGTTCACGCATAATACCATGCTCAAACGAATCAAGCTTCTGCTCGGACAGCATCATCAGTTTTCTTCAGTGTAAACGGTTATAAGAATAACCAGCTGCTTTATAGACAGCTGGATGCGGAAATTTACGCCGTCTGTAACTACCTCTACGGCAGCCGAGCTGCTTGAAGTTATCGCAACTATAAACTACAGGTTGCAGCGACCAACGTTCGTAGATAAACGTTGGTAGCGACTGCATTCACGCATTCCCACGCATCACTCCGAACTGAAAGGCGCTAGTTTCGGTTTGAAGTCGGTGCCTTTTCTACAACATAGATGGCGGCAGCATCAGTCTTCTGCACTCGGTGCATTTGGCGAGTTCGTTTGAGTCCAGTTTTCCGTGCAACACTCTGTGAGTGCGATGCATTCTGGGCGAGAACTCGAACGGTGCCAGTGCGTGTGAAACGAACTCGCCGGAGCGAGGCATGACGGGATTGCATTTTGGCGCACTCCCGATTTTCTCGGTGCAGCGAGTGCATGCACGCGTGGGGTATCAGCGCTGAAACTAGAGCACTATATAGCTCCTACGGAGCAGAGTAGCGCAATCCTTTGAACCCCGTGTTTTGCCGACAACATGGCCGACAGAGCGGCTCGGCGCGAGTCACGTGGTACTCAGGGTTCCAGGAGGCGGCCCGCCCTATGGGAGAATACATGGAGATCGACATAACACGGCTGATTAAAAAATTAACGGCGAGTTCACACTTTTCAAAACTAGCCTGTCGTGAAGTTAGTAAAGCGCTAAACACTTTATCAAAGTTTTAATAATATCGGATGCGTGTGCAAATTTTGAGAAGGCAATTTCCAAGGCAATGGCGTTTGAAGCAGACGATTTTGGCTCGCAGCGGAGATGGGCTTTTCGGGTTGGCCGGAGCGGGTCACGTGAATGGTGTGACGTCGCCGTGTCGTCTGCTGCATGATGCTGCTCAGGCAATTTTTTAAAAAAAAGTTACGTCCTTGTATGGCACAAAATTTATCGCAAATTATTCTAAAATGTTTCATTATTATGTCAAAAATGATTGTCATTCCGTACATCCCCACAAAACTGAAGAAACAACGATTTTCTCACGTTCTCCATGCATTTCTGACCGCAGTTGGAACCTCCGGGCGTTCGCCGCTAGTCGCCGAGAGACGGCGTTCTAGATTGCGCTACTCTGCTCCGAAGGAGCTATATAGTGCTCTAGCTGAAACGAACTCGGAGAGTGCAACCCACTGATCTCTATGACAATTGCTGGATCGCGTTTGCCCGCTCCGCGAATGCGGTCACTGGCGGCCATCTTTAGGTAGAGTTATATCACCTCTAGCCAATGTAAGCTGCTGCAGCCGCTATCATCCATCCATGGCAGATAGCCTTTTGGCAGGTGGGTTGGCAGGCTGCGGTCAAAATAGCGTCGGTGATATTGCGTGCTTGATTAAAATTATTTGACGAAACATGTTTTTGAAACCCGGCGTGAACAGTAGTCCGGTTTTTGAGGACCTGGTAAAAGTTTCACAAAATCGCAGCACCGGGAGAAAAGCAGCACAGCACGTATCGAAAGTCGCATCGAAAGAAGCATCGAAAGCAGACGACGGTACGGAGTCTGCTTTTGATGCGAGCTGCGCTGCTTTCCCCCGGTGCTGCGCTTTCGTAGAACTTTTGCCGGGTCCTCAAAGATGAGGCTACCGTTCACGCCGGGTTTCAAGAATCTGCTTCATCGAACAACTTCAATCAAGCACGAAATGTCACCCACGGTACAGTGTACTAGATCTACGACTATTTTTATGGCAGCCTGCCGCCATTGCGCTGTCCGCCATATTACTATGATGGCTAGAGATGATATAACTCTACCTAAAGATGGCCGCCAGTGACCGCATTCCGGTCCATAGGAGGAGCTGGTCAAACGCGATCCAGCAAATAGACATAGAGATCAGTGGTGCAACCACTCGTGGAGTGCCGGCCGAAACGAACCCGTTCCACGCTGCGAGTGGGCACGCGTGGGCACGAGTGCCGTGAAACGAACTCGCTAGAGCACTAAGATTGCGAACTAACGTTCGCAATCTTAGTGCTCTAGCGGTAAAATCTGGCGATTTTTTTAAATTTATTTTATCAATTTGTTGTAAAATTTACGGAAGTGACAGGGATTACTCACTGATCTCTATGACAATTGCTGGATCGCGCTTCCCCGCTTGTTCGCTGCAGCGCATTGCACTCGCTAAACACATTCACACGGCGTCGGTTCTTGGTCGGTATCCAAGCGCGCGAAGGCACAGAGACACGGCACTTCGGCGTGCCAAGGATGCTTTGAACACGCCGCCAGCCCTTCCTTTCGACGCGTTGTGCCTTTTTCCTGCGACACTGCACTTTCGTAAAATTTTCCACGTGTTCACAACGGAAAGTCTCAACAATACACAGAGTCTTCAAAAAACTTCTTCGGCGAATGACGACGAACGAGTAGAAAACGTGTCGTCAGCACGCTGGAAAACCGCAGCAAAGGCTAGCAAAAACGGCAAATCGTATCCCAAGCGAGTGACGCCCGGTGGCTTCACTTGCGGGAGCGGCAAGCGCGATCCAGCAATTGTCATTGAGATCAGTGGGGATTACTAATCATTTATACGCGGTTGCTCCAGCGACATCGCAATCTTCCTCACGTGACACGTCCACGCCAACCTCCTTGGTCCACGCCTCTATGGTCCACGCACTGTGCGTGCGGTGCGTGCTGTGCGTCCAAGCCGTCCATCCATCCACGGGCTTCTGGCGTCATAGTTCCGGTTCTAGCTGTTCTAGGGCTCCTCCTCCTCTAGGGGGTTTTGCATATTTTACCAACTGAGTTATGGGCTGTGAGTGCTGTTAGTTCACTCATTTTTACGAGTTTGAGGAACTTTAAAGTTTCCCAGTGTTCGTGAGAATTGTGCGAGTTCAGCCTTTGCCAGTTTACTTGAGCTTTTGGCAATATCTAGTGCTTGGTGCTCCAAAATTGTCCCGAAATGGCCCAGCCTCCGAGAGCGGACGTGAACTACCTCCGTGGGTTGTTCAGGAAGTATGGCCATTTTTTTTTGCTCATTGCTTGTGTCTTGAAAACACTGTAGGCGGTCTGAATTCGAACTTATTGTGCCCAAGTCCAGCTAGTCGCCGATCCAGCCGAAGGAGTGGTTGATGGCCGCGTTTTTGCAGGAAGCAATTGCTAACGCTTGCGTCGGTTGATGCGTCACCTTAGTCGCAATGTGGTAGATGGGCGTTCCAGGCAGCTGATGGCTTTGGGTACAAACATATCTCACATGACAAAAAGAACGCCGAGACTGAGGACACACACAAGGGTCCGATCCATTGATGTGTCTGTCGCCCCATAAAATTTTGTACGTTCACCTATTTCTCCATGATCCAGCGTGGATAAGGACGGAACTGGAAACATCAGCGCGACTGAGCTTCAGAGTGCGCTCTCCAATGGTAAGTCCCAACTGCACAGCTTGCGAGTGGCTTAATGCTACGGTGCCGCAGCTATGTTGTAGCAACCGTTTGGTTTCATTCTAGGAACATGGAAGCCGTTCAACCCAGAAACCATAAGAATGATGATCGGTGAGTTCTGCTCGCGTCGCCCTCCCTGCCATGGGAGAATTTCCGATGCCCGGGCCCGTATAGCACCACCTTGCCTCCTTTCACACGCAGATTTTGCGTTTTGCCACGGTTAAATCCACCTGGCCTTACGTATCACTGCAATTGTTTTTTGCTTTGCTCTTCACTACATCGTCTCGAGTCTACCGAGCCGATACTTTAAGCGACAGTTGTAGACAAACCAGAGTATTACATGCAGCGCTGGAAAGGGTATCAACTCAAGTTACACCTACTATCACTTCCAGTAAGACCCTTTTCTGCGCAGTGCACTGCCATTTTGGGGACATCTGTCAGTGGAGTTTGCTTTGGCTACTTTCAGTCTGGCCACTTTGATCATCAGAGTGGCCGGACTGGATTGGATCGTGTTGATCATGGTCATCATTAGGGGTGTCGCGAACTTTTTTCGAACCGGATTTTTAGTTCGAACTTTCGAGGTTCGACTGGGTCGAACCGGTTCGACGAACCTTTGAAACTTTTCACCAGATTCAACCGGTTCGACATGTGGCCAGATCTTGATACACGCATGTCTAGGTTTGAAGAATTAATTTTTATGCAAAATGGTTATTTTATTTTATGAACAATTGCAATTAAAAGAAACCAATTCTAATTGCTGAAGACGTTAATAACTTAATTTTTTGTGCTGTATTAACTGAAATAACCAATCAGCGGTGCCCTTAATTCATCCCTTAGCCATTACCGTCCAATCCGAACGAAGCCAACTGGCCAGCCTGTCGCGCATGCGCACGAGAGTCGAACCTCAATACAAGGTTCGTCGAAATTTCCACAAAAAGTTAGAAAAAGTCGAACCTGGTCGAACTCGAACCTCGGCCGGTTCGCGACACTCCTAGTCATCATCAAGAAACTTGTTGATTAGAGTATAATGGTGTACTAGAACTGGGAGGTGTGCCAAGCACCGGTTGTTGCTAGGTTCTCCAACTGGATTCTGCTGTGCCGTAGTCAGGTTGCGGGCAGATTGGATACGGCACTCTGCTTCGGTTGTACGCAATCCAGTATTGTAATTCCGTCAAAAAATGTGTTGTTGTTGTTTTTTTTTTTTTTTTTGCTTGCATTGCTGCTGTACAGCATGAATAAATTTGGTTAACCCCCTAGAAGCTGTTCAAAATCGTTCCGCTCGTTTTATCCTCAGTAATTATCAACGCACTGCAAGTGTCACCTCTATGAAGTCTAACTTATCCTTGCCTAGTCTTGCCTCACGCCGAAAGGTAGCCCGTTTGTCTCTCTTCCATAAAGTATTTCACACTAACTCATTCCTCCGTCAACGTCTCCTCACACCACCTTTCTATGTTTCATCCCGTCTTGATCATCCTCATAAAGTAGGTGTACCACTATGTAGCACAAACACATTTCAACAATCTTTCATTCCCAAAACGTCTTTGGATTGGAACCGCCTTCCCACCTCCATCGCCATAATCCAGGCGGATGATTTGTTTAAAACTGCTATTTCTAACTTGTATTGTTCATAACTAATTTGTGCTTTGCCTTTCAGCTATTCATTGTATAATTTTTCTTGTTGAATACAACCCACTCCCCTCTGTAATGCCGTTGGCCCTGAGGGTATTGAAATAAATAAATAAATAAATAAATACATGTGAGAATTACACCACTTTACTTTTTTGTTTTATTCGCGTCTCCAGCTCGACGCTCGCCCTCCCACGGCGGAAATGGGAAGCGCTCTAGTGAGGGTCCCCCGATTCTCCTGCTCAGTGGGCATGGCGGAACTGCTCGCAATCATGGCTCGCGAAATGTCATTTCTAAATGCTGTGCCTTACTAGAGTAGAGAGTTTTAGTATTGCGCATAGAAGCAAGCGCAAGCTTTGTGCATTTGCGTTAGAGTTGCAAGCCCCACATTGTGCGTGCACCTCAGCGCCATCCAAGACCGCAATTCGAACTGGAAAGGCTGAGATTGGCAAAACGACGGTGCATAAAAATGAAAGTTACTAAATGTTATTAAAAAAAAATTAATGATTAAAAAAATTTTTTGGGCATTTGTTTTGGATAGATATTGGCGGCGACTTACGTTGCATTTTTTTGCCATTTGGTTTGGAAGGATATTGGCGGCGACTTACGTTGTGCCGATTGTCGAAAGTCGCGACTTTGATCGAAAAATATACTTCAACCACAATTAATGTAATTTTACATGGATTTCTCACATTAGCTAAAATGTTTTCATTGACTTTGGACTATTTTTATTTTATTACTTGGTAATTAAAAACACTTCAATTGGCACCAGTGATGATAATTAGCACACTTTTGGTTGTAATATTTGTTCGCGCGTTTGAAATTAGATCATAAGCAACGCTTGAAAAAATTACGTATTACAATTTCTGAATTTTTATATTATTATTATTGCCAATCGCGGCAATGTATGCCCCCAATTAACGATAAGATCACGAAAATACGTAATTTAACCATAATAGTCTTTCCAGAAAGGTATAATTTTGTTTTCTTTTTAGCATATGAAAAACACTGACATCGTTATCAAGGTAGACAAACAGTCAAACACTAGATATAACGTAAAGTCCTATGCGTCACGTGTTGCTATAAAAAAGCACACACACACGCACACTTCAGCTGTCCGACTCAAATTCCGTCTTTGGGTTGTTGCAGTGAGAACAGCGTTTATTAATTTATACGGTTTGTGGACATATTGTAAAAATTGGAATTATTCTCTTACTCTTGTGCTAGGAATAATGTTAAACCAATTAATCATCTGAATACCCAAAAACTCATTAAAAGGCCCGCAGTTCATTATTTCCCATGGCAATTATCTGAGCAAGAAAAGGCAGCCAGAATGCACAACTATCGGCACTGATTTTTTCAACAACTACAAATATCAGCCTGGATTGAAACGTGTATGTCACAAAATAAAGTTTCCGCGAACAACTTCTGTAACTAAATAATTACGATGTGAGACACATCTCAAGTTATGAAAGAATATGAAATTAAAACCTATACCGAGAAATTAAATCCAAAATAGAGATTAGTTTCGGTTTTGCTCCAAATTGAAACGCGCATCCTTGCATAAATATTACGCTAAACACCATTCTTGTTTTCAGGGTAAAGAGGTGACCTGCGCCCATAACACCCTAGCTTCATTGTATTACCAGAAATAATTTGTGTTGGTCAGTAAAGCCAGCACACTAGACAGGCTTAACAGCGGCTCGCATCTCCTACCCTCACTATAACCGCCATTTTGGAAAATGAGTGGCGCCACCTATAGTTAGTCGGAGTTGCGAATAGCAAAATAGAACACTGTTGAGTGTTCAAATCGAGAACACTGGGGGGATCGGTGGCCGAGTGGGCTAGCGCACACCAGCTCGGAGCACGTGGAGCGAAAGCTCGCGCTGCAGAACCCAGGGATCCTGGGTTCAATCCCCACCCCTGCCCATTCTAGGCTGTATAAACATACACACAACCCAATTTTTTTTTATCGAGAACACTCAGCCGATAGTTTGGTGCGCAACGGGTCATATTCGACTGCTCGCAGAGGAAAATAAGAGCTATGGTGACCCTTACTGAGTCTTTTCTCAAATATGCACCATGTAAATTTCAACTATACAATTTTTATATATTTTTATGAACAGCAATGTGCAAAGCCCCTTCGTCGTAAGTAAAACAAATTACTAGAGGTTATTTTCAATTTGTAAAACAGTATTTATGCTGCAAAGGTTATTTTTTTTATTTTCTGGTATTTTGACACAGGAAGTGCCCACATTTTACTTTATGCTTTTGCTCCTTGGACTTGGTAGTTTGCTGCCTTGTTTTTGCCTCTCAAGGAGTGCGTTTGTCTTGTGCAGAAAAACTTCACTGAGTGAGGCCCATGCAGTGGTGGGTAGCCGACCTTTGGGAGTTTTTGCACCATAAAACCCGCAAACAAAGCAATGACCTAAGGGAGTTTCTTCAGCGAGTCAATTATGTCAAACATAATGTCAGCATTGACGTTTGCATGTGCTGAAGATCTTTACAATGTAGTTTTCCAGACATCGGCACAAGCTGACAAGGGGCAAAACGATACAATGAAACTTCTGATTGCATCCGATTCTTTGTCATTAACAAGTGGTTAAACATAAATAACTCCAAATTTGTATTTCATTTGTTTTGTAATAGCCATAAACCCCTAGGAATGGTCATGTAAAAATAATAAAGCCAAATAGTTACTGAAATCTAACGGATAAGCTCGATTTTTCTTAAAAGGACTCAACAAAACACAACCTTCTGCATCACGCAGCAGGTTGTATTCCGTTGAGTGCTACAAATACCAAAACTTTTTTTTTTTTTTTTCTGGTTAGATTGTGGTGGTAGATAAGAGTGTTTGATAAACATATTAAAATACAGATCAAGGTGGGCTAACAATTTGCAGTTACAGTGACGAAAGGGTAAACAAGGAAAACTAATTGCATGCAAACTTAGTGTAAAATCCTGAATAAGCTCCCCCTCAAGATTTCAAGACAATCATGTGACACCAGGGGCAGATGCAGGAATTTCCAGGGGGGGGGGGGGGGGGGGGGGGTCAGGTGTTGGTCAGTGTACCATATGTTCAGGAACCCCCTCCCTCGTTTCCATGCCCTAAATTTTTACACATGCAGAAATCAAGAGGGGGGTCAGGACATCTAGACCCGCTCTAAATCCGCTCCTGTGCGACACTGGGGCGCTCCTTTGGCCAACAATATGTAGATACGTATTTTCCAAATGCTACACAATCGAGGGGTGGGCACTTCTCGTGGATGCTCGGTATTTTAGGGAACATTGAATCTTTGAAATGGAGAATAATGAGCCTATCCACTAGGCATGCATGGTTGGCTATATTTAACATTGTGGGATAGCCATCATGAATACAAAATGTTTTATTGCTCGTCTTGACTCAAGGTCGAGGGCTTCGCGGACTCCCCATTTGTGAGCCACTGAACTAGATGGTGCCACTCGCAGCTTTGAATTTCGGTGGTGGTGGTAGTATTGAAGGAAGTCAGTTTTGAGACAAAGGGATGAAAAATGATTTTCTTAAGTGCAGATATAATTTGAGTGGGTGATTCCGTCTACAGTTCCAAAGGTGCCAACATTATCGAGAAAAGCTTTTAATGCAACAACACGTCACCGCAATCAAGGGGAAGACTTGTCGCCAAATTACCCAAGCACCAAGGAGAATGCGGAGAACGTAGGTACACATGGTGCGCATTCTCACCTTCCTTGTATGGAAGAATCAAAGTATAAGCAAAATAAGACCTTGAGGAATGCATGTGCAAAATGCCATTTCTTTTAGATTTTTGCTTTGGAACAGTTACTGCTGCAGATACCAGCAAGTGCAATGCATTGTGTAACTGCAGTCGTGGCATGTGCCCGGGAGGTCTCTTCCGAGTGGGTTTGAATTTCCCGTCCCCAATATGGCAACCGCACTGCCAACAAGAAAAGGAATGCGATACTCTGGAAACCTTGACTAGCAAGCACTTTTCCACGGGCAAGGACCCTGGTCCCGCTTAAACAGTCTCTTTCCAATGCTCCTAAAGTTACCGCAAGCTGGACTCTGCTGCACCATTGCTGCCGAGAGACGGACCCCCATGCTGAGTGTCGTAACGCCACTTACGCAGCCGAGACCAACTTGTGAGGGAGAAGTGCAGGCACTGTAGTGGACAGCCGAGCTCCCCTGTCGTCATTGCTGCTTCCTCTTCCTCCTAAACAGACATGTTTCGTTCGCCAGGCATGTTTGACCGGAGCCGTGTCGGGACGGTCGACTTTGACGAGTTTGTCTCTCTGTGGAACTACATCACCAGCTGGCTGAGCTGCTTCCAGAGCTTTGACCTGGACCGCTCGGGCGCCATCGATAAGCGAGAACTTAGCGAGGCCCTCACTAGGTTTGGTGCGTATGGTGGCCGCTCGTGCCTTGCCAATTCTCTCGGAGGCCCGTGCGAGCTTTTGGTTGCTTCTGTGCACAGGCTACCGGCTGAGCGAGCCAACGATGACCATGCTGCTAGTGAAGTTTGATAGGGACGGCAAGGGATCCATCAACTTCGACGACTTCATCCAGTGCTGCGTGACACTCCAGGTGCTTAACTCTTTTGTTTCCCCAAGGCTGGTATTGTCCGTCAGCCGACGTTAAAGTATGAACCGCATGCAAGCTATTCGGCGAGCGACGAGACAAGCGATGGCGATCCCCTTCATTGTCGCTCGGTCAGTTGCGCGAGGCGACAAACCGCATGAAAGTTGCTGGAGCAAGCGACCAGGGCGATGAGAGACGTTTTTTGAAAAATCCAAAAACCAAGCGACACGACAAGCGAGAGTGAGAAATTTCTGTCGCTTGTTGCCGACTCCCGTTGCTCGTATTGTCGCTCGCTAAATCGCTTACATGCGGTTCAGCCTTAACTCTTTCCCGACCACGCTTTTTGACGGCGCTTGGTTTCCAAGCGCCGTTAAAAAACAAATTTAGTGCGGAGTATTATGTTCCACAATCTCGTCGATAGCCGAAGAACTGTAGTTTCGGTTTCAACATAGTTTTGAACTTGGCAACAAGCTGGTGGGCTGTCAAAAATAGTCCTGGGTGTGACATGGCTAACTGGTTGCATCAGTCTTAGTAACAAAGATGGCATTTACTTACATAATTCAACTGCATTGTGGCACATTTTTTAGACTTCAAGAGCTCTAGGGACACTTTTAACAATGTTATAGGTGTCGCTTAACAGATGGTTGTCAGTTAGCATCACTACAATTTCCAGTGCTGTCATGAGCCGACGTGTACGTTTTATGTTCCCAACAAGGCGGACAAAAAGCTAAATATGAAGGAACTGCAATTGAGACTATGACAAAACCATGGTAGAACACAAAGAAAGCATTCTGCTGTGGATGTGAGGTGTAGTGTCTGTGTTTCACCAATATATGCATTCCTTCGTTGAAAAGTACACGTGTTAAGAAGGCCAACTCTCAGACGAATCAAAAATATATGTCAGAGTATACAAGTTTTCAGAAGTAATAGCTTGGGTATGGGGCATATTTTGTATATTCTGAATTTTTTAAATTTGTTGTTTACTTTGACATAGCTGTAGAACTTTCAGCATATATACACCTTCCACACATACATAGTATTTTCAAAAAATATTTCATTTTAAAATCTTTTCCCCACATAATACCAACCTGTTTCTTTTGAAAGAACAATTGGCCACTTTTTTGGTGTGTCATACTCATGCTGCTAGAAAAAAAGTGGAATGCACAAGCCCTAGCCACAACAGCCCAGACTGCATGCACTGCCCCAAACAGAACTGGTGCAGTGCACTTGAGTCTTGCCGCATTTCAATGTACATTACCTCGCTGTCTCAATGCTGCACCCCAAGAACCTCTCACAGACTAGTCCCTCAGCAAATGGAAAGAACTGTGGGCAAAAGGATATCCCGACCAGGGTGTAAGATAGACAGGTGGAGAAACGAGAGCCAAATGAGCGATCGGATGGTGTCCCTCTTGGTTTTCTCTTTTTCTGTGGCGCCATCTATGTGGAGCACCGCAAACTCTCACTCCAGGTGGGCGACCGGTAGCGACCGGCTAAACTGACGGAGATGGTTTCTCGTGGATTTTTAATGGAGGACTGTCGTGCTCTCGGTTTATTTTGCGCACTCTCTTATAGAGTTCCATGCAAATCCGATTCCAATTTTTTTCCTCTCGCCGCAGCGCCATCTGTCGCAAATCGGGGGTACCCGCAAGCAGACTAGTACACAATCCGGTCACGGCGCTGCGGTAGGCTTCAATGGGCCGTTTCCCCACCTTTCTATCTTACACCCTGATCCCGACACAGTATACCAGCTTCCCTCACAAGCAACGAGCACAGACAGATTATGACTGCTTGTAACAAACCAACCACACTTCTGCCTTCATTAAAAGCACATATTCAAATTAGGAAATAAAAAGCGGTTGCACGGATCCTTTGAAAATTGCTGCTTTTCCCGTGGTCAGGAAAGAGTTACCGTAAAATACCGGGCAAGCGCCCACTCAAAATTTAGAGATAATCGCGAAAAATTGGGGGATGGGTGCTTGTCCGGTCATCAATTTTACATATAAATGTACTGTGCATATTTTTTCATATCTTAGGAATTTGGATATGGGCGCTTAATGTGGAATGGGCAGATGCGCAGTATTCTACGGTAACATTTAAACGAGGGTGGAGTGGCATTGAAGCCTGTTCTGGAACTGTTTGCGGTAAAAGTTAAGAGCGTGTCATGCTACGATGGGTTGACAAAAGAAATATAAAGTTTTTTCTTACAGTAGAAATGAAAAGATCCAGCTTTACTTTGGTTTAATGTTTACAGCACCAAAAACAAAACCTATTAGAATCCAGACTAACTATTCAGCTGGCACCAACTAAGGCAAAGTTTCTCGTCTTTTGTACAATTTGTCAATGCTGGCTCCCCAGTGTTCTCTCCCACCGAACGGCCACTAAAACACCGTGTGCCCTTTCTGCACCCCTAGACCCTGACAGCTGCATTCCGCCATCACGACACGGACCAAGATGGCTGGATCAAGATTTCCTACGAGGATTTCCTCCGGCTGGTGTTCAGTGTGCGCATGTGATGGCCTTCGGGGAGTGTTGTTGGTTCCTTCTTTCCCCTTCACTCCGTTTCACGGCGCTACAGTTTGTTTTGTCCAGTGCTTGTATGGTCCCGGACAGGCACGTCTCCGTGCTGTCACGGAAATGTGCCGAGGGGGCTGTTGCCTTTATTCCGTACCAATATTGCATCAGGTGCCCACAAATGTCAACAGAGTTAATAAAGGGAATGCTTCTCGATGCCTAAGCCATTTGTCATCTCGGTCCTCGAAGCACTGTAGCTGGAAAAGGGGCTTGTTGCTCTTGTACCTAGGATTTGCATGCTAAACAATCGTTTGTTATCTCGTGCATTTTTTTTTGCATTTGAAAATTTCAAAAGACTAGCATTTTTTTTTTTCTTTTTCCCCAAAGGTAATGCAGCAAGATTTCATGCTGTAAATGACTTACTGGTGCAATGCTCTTTCTGAAAGCCAGATTCTCCAAGGTTGGCTGTATTATGTAGCGATATCCCTTGTTCAATAGACTACTTCCATAAAGCCCTGCATGCAACGCGGCGCGCGTTGCACTCTGGGAACTAGTTGGCCAGGGAGGAGGGCGGCATGGTTTCGGTTTCGATCGACACGTCGACAAGAAACTATACACAGAGCGTGGACTATTACGGCCGTCATCTCACGTTTTCTGGTCCCGAGAGCGTCATTTGTGGTCTCTAAACTAACCTAAATGGCCAGACCGCGAAGCTTTAGCACAAGCCTGAGACGTATAGCTTGTCTTAACACATGCTTGTTGTATTTTTGTACTTGAGCCTTCCTGTTAGCGTTCCAATCGACGTATGTGGACGAGCCAGTGCTGGGAATCTCGACGCTGCGAAGCACGGGGATCTTGCTTGTTTACGAATCAACAAGCTCTAGCAACCAATAAGTATGCATACATCGAGCTCGCGCCTTTACATTAGTGTTGTTGATCAGGAAGTTTGTTTGTTTCGTGCGTCCATAGACGAAATATTACTTCTTGCAATTACTGTTTTTCTTAATATGCTTGGGTATGCGAGGTAAAACTCGAAGGCGCCATTGAAAAGCTCAATTTCAACACACTTCTTATCGCTTATCTGTACTGGCCCGCAGCACTGCACGAAGTGAAGTCCCCGCCCGCTTGCATTCCACTAATATTGAACATCGCGTATGCGCATAAAGTTATCCTGCAATCATGTCGGAAAATTCGCACGTACAGACCGCTTTAAGAAGGCAAAAGTCGAGACTTTGTGTGAATAATGTCGCAAAGTGCGCCGGACGGGTGCGAACCCCTATGCGGTGCGCCAAACGAACGAATTCAAAGCGCGTTTGATGGTTGCTAATGGCCATAATATTTGTTACGTGTTTGCTTTCTTCCTGCCTGAGTACGCCGAGATAATTTCAGACACACCGTTCAGGCACAGATTTTGGGCGTAAGTAAAAGCTCGTCCAAAAAGGCTTAGCGAGGAGTAAGGGACGCTTGTTAGGGCCTCCGTCGTGGCTAGCCGATCTCAGCGTTTGCGAAAAGTTAATCTTTTATCAGCATAAAATTTGAGTGGGAGATATATGATGAGACGAGGAAGACATCATAGTAACTTTTGTGCAGTGGTGAAGTCGAATTTATTGCGTTTAAAAGTTCATGCGTAAACGCTGGGCTTAACTTTGATACCCTGTGAGGATGCGGCTTGTTTTTCGCCCAATGAAGTAACAAGAAGCGGCCGTTGAGCAAACAAAATGCGTGTAAGGCCCAGATGAACAAATTTCAGTTCTAGTTCACTGGTACTAGACGGGATTATTGAAATTGAGCTCAAACATGCACTCGTGGGGTGAGGTGACTAAGCCACGACTTACTACGTTTGCATACGCACGCACAGTATGCGGTGTTTCGGGAACCAAGGAAAGTGCCCCGGTCTTTGTTTTGTATCGCTCGAGCGTGAAAAGTCAGATAATCGAAAACGCAAGCAGCGCGTTCGGTCGCGACGTGATAGCATGAGATGCAGCTGCTCACTCGAAACCGAAACTGAGTGGCCAACTAGTTCCCAGAGTGCACTGCGTGATATTTCGCCGCGATGGGGCGCGTCGGTTTTGGAAGAAGTCCATTGAATAACCTAGGGTGCCTTCATGTGCACTCTGCTTCAGGTAACAACATCTGTCCATTTTGTTCCGAACACATCTTTCTTTTTTGTTTTGGAACATGTAAAAGAACGTCCTCTGGCACGAGTGCTTGGCGTTTTCTATGGTGGCATTTTGTTTCCGGCCATCTCTTTGTACATTCCCTGTAAGTGCTAACTGTCGGTATTGGGTACTACAAAGAATGACATCACCCTAAATGGAAGGACATCATGGCACCCTAAGACTTATCTTTTAGTGCAGCTGGCGGCCTCACAGTTACTCTTTCTGCATTTAAGTGATTGTGCTTAAACTGTAAATAGAACTTGCAATAAATATTTTAGAATGCTGCCTGGTGTAGATTGACATGACATTTCAAAAGCTTGGTATGCTCTGTGAAGCATGTGAAAACAAAACACAAGCAGCAAGACACTTTTTGGAAAGTTTTTATTTTAAGGAAAAAGGTATATGTACAAATAGCATACAAACATTAAAAAATTGTCCCTTAACTGTCCTAGGAAGACTTTCTTTGTTTTCTTTCTAACCAGAGGTACACTACTTCCTGGTAGCATGTAGAAAGTCAGCACAGGCTGTAGGAGTTCTTTCACAAAAATCCTTAAACACTTCCAAAAATAACTAGAAAACAAGCCAAATCACTATTTTGGAGTGGCGATTCCAACCTGCCAAAAAACACAGTTTGTGCCGAGGGCAGGAAGTCTGAAGGTGAGCTTTGTAATCATTTAATCAACTTTTTTTTATACATTTTCCAAAAAGTTTTTATTTAAGCAGATGTCAGCAAGAAGGGGGCCAGGAAATTTTAAAATGACAAATTTACAGGCCATTTATGCACCACCACTGCTTTAGCCATGTAGCCCTCATTCCACTGGCAGGCACATGCAAGTGACAATTGACAAAGCACATTCCACATCTTTGATGGCAACTAACAGGGGAAGTTTTGTGAATTTACTGTTAACCAATGCGCTCCGATGCATGGTGCACTACGACACCAATGTCTGGACAAGTGTTTGCACATAAGCGACATTTGGTAATCCCTGGATGGGTGGAATGGAGCTGGCAACAGGTTTCTTTGCACTTGATTTGCCACATTATCCATTATGGAAGAGCCTGCTAAATACCATAGTGTCCTGGTTTGCACCACCGCCATTGCGAACTACAAAAAGCAGCAGACCCTTCAAGCTAGTGAACATAAGCAGTTAAGGAAATTGCGCAGTAGTATAAATAACCTCAAAGTATGGGGCACTCAAAACACTGCCAAGTAAGGTGCTTGGTTTCACCAAGTTGATGGCACAACAAACCTCTGCTGCATATTTCCTGCTACCGTCTTAAGTACGCTGCGACTACCGGGGCTCCAACCATTACACTTCCTACGGCACCCATTGTGACAACATTGATCCAAGACCTTTCTGACAGTGCTGCCTTTGCTAACACAAAATGTGAAATCAGACAGGCTCAAAGTACTCATGCTGCTAGAAAAAAAAAGTGGAATGCACAAGCCCTAGCCGCAACAGCCCAAAGACTGCATGCACTGCCCCAAACAGAACTGGTGCAGTGCACTTGAGTCTTGCTGCATTTCAATGTACATTACCTTGCTGCCCAAGAACCTCACACAGACTAGTCCCTCAGCAAATGGAAAGAACTGTGGGCAAAAGGATATCCCGACACAGTATACCAGCTTCCCTCACAAGCAACGAGCACAGACAGATTATGACTGCTTGTAACAAACCAACCACACTTCTGCCTTCATTAAAAGCACATACGATTGAGCCAATTGTCAATAAAGCCCACCAGGGTCCAAGAGCAGTCAAGCATAGTTTCTTCTAAGCACTACTGCTTTTGGTACAAACAGTTTTCTCTCTCAGAGCAATAAAAAAATCCAATGCTTTTTTTTTTTTGTGAAGATTTGTTTAGGACTACAGATTTCTGCCAGAATGAACAACACACACTTGCACATCTTGTCAAGTGGCCAGTTTTTATCCTGCGAATGAACCTGTGCATGATAGGCGCGAGTATTATCAAAGGTATGCATAATCATTTTCTGCAGATGGTTAGAGGGTCAGAAATAAAGTCGGACAGAACCTGCAGCTTGTTTAAACATGGCACTAGACTGTGGTTTACTACATGCCACAACAACCAGCGAAGTCTGCCAAAACATGCTCAATCAGGCATCCGACACAGTTTAAGAACCCAGCATGTTAGAGAGGCTAACATATTACAAAACACAGCAGTGAAAGGAGTTTGCATAAAGGTGCTTAAATATTCTGCTCTCAACTACATCAGCAGTTGGCCACTGCTGCAACTGAATTAAAATTATATGAAAGATTGCACAGGCCGCCCATGACCATCCTTTTTGAATGTGAGGAACAGCCGTTCAAAACCTTTGAGGTTGTGGGGAACAGTGAAACCTGGCCAGTCTCCCAATTAACTCCCGGCTACTGTCAACACAACCAGAAACTTCAACTTGGCTGCAACATACAGATGTGTACAAAGGCTTATATATGCTGTGTAAACCTATGCAAAACAACAATATATATATTTAGGTATATTCTCGACTGCTCGTACAAATTTGAGCAGATAAAACATAAAAAGTTAGAATTGTAAAATTCTCAGCTGGCGGCACCATTGAGGCCCATGCTCAAAATAAGGATATAGTACTAAAAAGTTAAAATGTTAAGCAGTCCTTTCAGCTTCTTTTGACTAAAAAGAGTACGGCATAAGGAACTTGCTGCTTTATCGAGACCCATGTCTCAAAATTTGGACCAATTGAGCTCTCATTTAAGTGTGCTGCCTTTACCTCCGAGATATATATATCTCTATGCTTTCCGTACGCCGCTCTGCATTCCCCAAGAAAGGTGAGACTCCCCACACATTTATTCAATCAAAGAAAGGCTTACACAATGTTGACTGTGGCTTTTACAAAATCACGTGCAAACATGTGCCTTTCTTGACTTGCACTCTGAACTTTGGCTTTACTTCTCCTTGAGAGAAGCTTCCAGGGCTTGTTGGAGTGCGTCGTCGTCGTCAATGCCGTAATCCTGCCGGGGAGAGACCAGGAAATGCGTGCAACGCTGCCACAGTGCATGGGCCACTCTTGGCTACAAAATAGAACTTTTTACACGGTGATCGCATCATTTTCAGCAAGTCCCTAGCAACCTGACTGAAAAAGGCAAACGGCCATATCCTCTGAACTCCCTCCAACCAGTGGAAGGCTCAGAAAATGACACCACAGTGATGCTGGCCTCTGAACAGAAGCAATTTCTGAGTAGGCATGTACTAACGGACGAAATCACCCCCAACATAAAATGCACGTGACAACAGAAATAAATTTTTTTTTTCCTTTGGGGAAGTGCAATTTGTGACAAGTGTCCTATTTCTGTGGTCAAGAAAAAAAATATGGTTTAGAAGCACAGTATCCCTTTAAAGTGTTGGGATCATGACAGCCGTCTGAAAGGGGCCAAGAAAAGATTTTGAAATTTGAGGCTAATTAACGTTACTTTTATTATTATTGTGTTACATGTGAGAGAAAACAGGCACATCAGATTTCATAAAATAGTGTAATCCCAATATGTTATCGGAAAGCAAGAAATGGGACCGTTTACCATTCAGTAGCCCCAACAGCGGCGTGGTGGTTACCACGAGATGACATAGTGAACTACGAAATTCTGCAATATAGACTCCCGTATTGTTAATATTCTGATCTGGACAAAGGACAATGGCCCCTGGAGCAAAGGCAGGAGAGGGTTTTTGCTGAAGCGCGACACTCGCAATTGTGCTAGACACACTACAGAACAAGAAGCTTCGTACACCCGGAGATACGTGACTAAGCATGTGGCCTGCAAGTATTGCACACTAATCTGAGCACTCTTTTAAAATAAAAACTAGCATATGCAAGCAAAAATTACTCTCCGCTCTGCATTTCATGTAAGTGACGAGAAAAGTGCCATAGTATGTTCGTTGTACAGTAGGCACCGTGACTGGGACGGCGCCAGACTTGTAGAAAACTGGTTGGTCATTCTGATTTTGTAGACTCCATATGAGAAAAAGAGTGCACTTTTTTGGGGTCCTCACAATTCAAAAACTGACAGGGCACAGGCGTGAAGTTTTCAATTTCCAGGGGGGATCCCACCCTCCCACACACATACACAATATATCAGTGATGGAAGTGGCATTTGACTTTTTGTAGCAGGTTTTAGATCCCAACATGTGTTACCACATTAATGATGATTATTAGTGGACAAAGAGCATGTTGGTCAAGACTGATGAAAAAATAAACATGCAAGACGAAGACGACACAACCAACTAGCATATCTGCTAAAACGTCGATCAATGAAAATATGCTCCACCAAGATGTAGTTGTGTCGTCTCCCTCTTACATGTTTATTCTTTCTTCAATCTTAAAAAAAAACCAAAAAAACTTAATTTAAAATTGTTGATAATAATTGAAGGTTCACCTTTGATATTCAGGTATATTACTTATTACCCCTTGGTATAATACATATAAATAATCATAAAAAATATAGCATGACACGCAACTGTTTCTAAAAAAAAGCTCGAGGTATACCTAAGCACTTCGGAGTTGTGAGTGTAACAGCACGCAAGCCGCTCGTCCGCTCCCTTTTTCGTCTGCTGCGTACTTTCCGTCGCCGGTCAACGCGCGCGCCCTCTCCTCGCTGCTCTGACCTAGGACGCTCCGTGTTAACAGCGCGCTGATGGACACGCAGCGCCATGGAGCGAGCGGTCGTGGAAACTGACGAGCACAGCGGCCAATGGGAGCCCCGTCGACGCGCGCCAGCCAATGGAACCGAAGGCAAAATCCATCAGCTTTACTTCGCTCCTATTGGGATCGCGGAAACTAGGTGCCATTTGAGCGCTTCAAACTGAAGACGTCAGCTCGCTCTATGGGACCCAGTTAATGCTTTCGCATTAAAAAGGCTGAGGTCAAAGTAGGTTCCGTTTATAATGGGGATTAAAAGGAAAAAAACATTGTTCAAAAATGAATCATAGCAGATACTTCCATTCAGATAAAGTGTCTCTACCATCAATTAAAATATAAAAGGTTTAAACAGCATAAACAAAATGAGGACAAGAGACCCGACACAAAGACAACAGGATAGCGCCTGTCCTGTTGTCTGTCTTCTTTGCCCTCATTTTGTTTGTTTTTTAAACCTTTTAATTAATATGACCAACTAAGTTATAATGACTCTCCCACTCCAACGTTTACACTCACAGTTGATGTAGCCTGTCAATATCATTATGTAAAATTCCATAAAAAAACTAGCATATCCGCTTAAACGCCGATCAATGCAAGTATGTTCCACCAAGATTTCTGAACCTACAAAACTTAGATATCTAACTTCATAAACCCTTCTCGCTAAATTAAAATGACTTTCTGAAAGAATAACGATACTTCACCAAGTGATACACTTTATTTAGCCTCCATAAAAGAAATTCTGACGGTTCTTGCCAACGCTGCTAATCACAAAGTCAACCATGAAACGTCACCAACTGCGCATTTTGAATGCACGGGGTGCCACCAGACATGGCGCTGTTTTGATCTGACCGAATCGGAATATGATGAGCAAATATTTCGTGAATACTACTTGTTCCCCGAGTAGCCCGACCCACTAATGAGGTAATAACATGAAAAGTGCAGAAGCTCAAATATCATTAGAGGGACCCTTTAAATTGTTTTAGGGGCGAAGCTCCTTAGGGTCTAGCCTTGTCCGGCGTTCGTGCTCACATCGATTGCCATCCCATCTGTCTTCTTAAAAAAATAAAAAAATTTTTGCGCAGTCGACAGGATTCGAACCTGTGCGGGGAGACCCCAATGGATTTTTAGTCCATCGCCTTAACCACTCAGCCACGACTGCGGGACGAGTAGGGGGCTCTGAGGTGTGGTAGTAACTCAAGAGCTGGGGATGTCATGGGTGAAACGCTGCATGTAGCCGCTCAACGTCTATACAGGAGAGGGCACTGCGGTCAAATGCGTATATAATCGCGTTAAACTTTGCATGCATTGGCTCAACGTTTATAGACGAAAGGGCGCTGCGGTCAAATGCGTATATAACCACGTTCCATACCACACATTCTCTTTCTGACATGGATGAAAACAATCGAAAAGCTTGGCATGCTACGGCTCAGTGTATCAGCACCACCAGAGCTTCGCCCCAATCAACATCATTCACCACGTGGAGATGCGGTCATTTTTTATTTGGTCTCCAGAATCACGAATAATTATATTTCAGATTGATGTGACAAGTAGCCACAGCAGCACTTTCAAAGTAGTGCCGAAGCCCCTCCTGCCCGGAGTGTTAAGAAAGAATTGCGACGTATTATACAGAAATCTCAACATTTACGCACCTTCCGCAAGCCTTACCCGAGCGGAAGACGACGACAAAGTCGAGTCAGTCAGACCCGCCTCGCTTCAGCTCCGTCAACATTTGGCGTTTTTGCGTCCCACGCTTGGGCTTTGGCCCACATGTCTCGTAATGGCACTACAACGACCCTTGGCACTGCCAAAAATCTTCAGGAACTTCCCCTGCCTGAAAATATAGACTCCCTACCCACCAAATTTAGGTCTGGAACTTCTTCTTTGTTAACCCTAACGCCGAATGCACCGGCCGCCGCTGCTGTAGTGACTAACAAGGGCGCACCATATCCTAACGCGTTATTCGCTGCCACGTGGAGCCCCCCTGCGCTTCCTACTCGGAACCAATTCTACATCCTCGGCGACGACGAACTCACAGGCAGCCGTGCCATGGCTCTCGGAGCCGTCGAGATGATTACCGGCGTGCTTGATCATCAGCCCAGCAAGCCCGTGATAGATTTTGTTGAAAATTTCACCATGACCAACACCCGAGGGAACGAGTGGCATACGGTGCTCTAGTGCACGGGCAAGCTGCGCCCAGTTCCCGCCACGTCGGAAGGTTTCCCAGCCCCCATCGTGCCAGTCCCCGCCAAGCCAGCGGACCTCCACGCGAAGAAACGCCTCGTGCCACTGCCGAAGGGAGGGTTCAAAATCGTTATGCGCCCGTGCAACGGATTGGACCTTCGCATGTGGAAACCCTACCAGCTCGTCCACTACCTAGCCAAGGCGGTCGGGGCCTCCGCAGAGGAGGTAAGCGACGCAGCACACCTGCAAGTGAACCACAACCAGAACATTTTGGCGATCCACACCGAGGACGAGAGAATGGCTCAGGCGCTCGCCCAGATTCATCAGCTCGTGCTCGGAGGATGATGCTACCCTTCGTACACATATCTCGCAGCGCCGGTCGACTCCAACAAGGGCACCATCCACGATGCAAGACCAGGATCCACCATGGAAGAGCTCGTGAGATGTATCCGGACGGAGGATGGGACACAGATCATCACTGCTCGCATACTGGGCCAGTTTGGCTCGGCAATCATCACCTTCGCTGACCGAAGACTCCCACATCACGTGGTCTACTACGGCAGCCGACAATGGGTCACCCTATACCGACCACTCAAGCAGGTATGCACCACATGCATGAAAGAGGGACACCGTGTGGATGTCTGCCCAACGCCAGGCACCCAGGCGTGCCCCCGCTGCACGTCGCCCACCCTTGCACCGAAACACGCCTGCGTCCCCTAGTGCCTGCTGTGCGATGGGGACCACCCCACCGGGGACAAGGTCTGCCAGCACCGATACGCCGATCGTCGGCCGAGCAATCAGGAAGCCGGCCGCTGTAGCCGTAGCAGGGGCTGTAGCAGGAAACCACCTAACAAAAAACCGCCAGCCAAGGCTGACAGATCCGAGAGCTGCGGCAGGAGCCACATGCGACGTGGCCGCAGCCGCAGCAAGACGAGAAGCCGGACCACAGAGCGAGTGAGCTGGACATGGATGCTGAAGGGCCACCGCTCTCTGCCGAAGACCCCTCCCCACCCAACCCTGTTGAGACCCCCGACTGGGCGAAGGCTTTCATGAGCTTTATGGACGAGATGAAAGGCACAATGTCGCATACTGTCGAGACCGGTTATAACGAAGTTGGTTATAATGAAATAGCGGCTACAGCGA